ATTGTATCAGTTCATTGACTTGCTTACTTATTCCTCAATATGAAAATATACAGCTCATTGTACTAGCTATTTATTTTGAGTTTCTCGAACAAACAGCACTGCTACTTCAGCATGCGGAGAGAGCTTCATCTACGTCCGTGTTACTGCGTAAGAGAAACCTGATCAGATTTTTCACATGCTTGCTACCCATTCTTGTACATATACCAAAATCCTAAATGGCTGGCAGTAGCTTTTTATTACCATCATTGGTAACATTCAGGGGACAACATTGGATTTAGGAGTTGTGGAAGTTACACGGTGGGGATGACACACTAAAAGGGAGGTGCTAGGCAAAGGTGACCATCAACCACATAAGAATAACCTTTGCCCAATATTACTGTTCCTTCATTTATGCCAGTCTGTGGAGCTTAGAAGTGAAGGAGTCAATACAAAGACAGCTGGTTAATAAACAAAGACAACTTTCTGGGTTTTAATGTATGTATATGTAATTATGTATGTAAATATATATATGTATACACATACATATATACGTACACATACAAATACATATAAACTCACACCTAATTGGCAGCTGTCTGGTATCAATGACCAGGAAGATGCTGAAAACTAGTAAATTGCATATTTTATCTTGAAAGGAAAGTCTCTTGTAATATTATACTACAGAGGCCAATAAAGATGAGGAGTAGGCCAAGACCAGAGTGCATCCACCTCAGAAATCTTTATGGTTTCACCCATAACGCGAAAACTGTCTGTTGATCCGTGGCACGCCGGGTCCCTTATTAAGGTTAGTTTGGCATCTAGTTCTGTTCCGAGCAACAGTTAACTTTAGAACGTTATTATTCTTCAATATGCAATGCAGTGTTCATTTTTTTTTTTTTTTTTTGTTACATTGTAGCGGAAAAACAAAAAAACGAAAACTGGTTTTGGACATGGATCTGAAGTGCCACTGTATTCTTTTTGTGGAAACACAAAGCAAAAATGAAAACAAAAAGCATACTGGAGAAGACAGTATAAATCCACCCTTGGATTTACTGAAGGCAACAGAACACCCTGGTCCGGAGTGATAACTATCAGATGATATCCAAAGTCCTAATGCTTGTGGCATCATTAGAAGCAGACACGAGGCTGGAAGTGAAATACACAGGAAGACCTAGGGGTTCTGGTAGATTTTAGGATAATCCCTTTTTTTCCATGCTGGAGAAACAGTAGCGAGTTTTGTGACAAGACAAATTCACTGAGCCGTGTCCGACACATTAAAAAGCGTGAAAATTCTGCTGTGCTGTATAGTTATCTTGTGGTTTTCCATAGAGCACAAAAGGAAATTAGGGCGGATTCCCTGGGAAAAAGAAAAAGGAACAAGTCAGGTATTGAAATTGGCATAATGTAAGCCATTCTGTGCTTATGAAACACCCATTCTTTCATAGTGTCATTTCTATGAGAAAATTTAAAGTAAAGGATGAAGAAATACTAATAGATTTACCTTGATTTAATTAGACCAAGAGACAAAAAAAGGTACATTGATGCCATTAGGTGGCTTGATTGCCAAGCCAGACGCTATTAAAAGACTGTATATTTTTTCACAAATTGTTAACTACATATATACACAACTCTGGTTTATCAGAGGAGGAGCAAAAATATTTATATATATTTAATATTTACCTTTATCTACCCTTCTCTTCAGCAAGTCTATGCAAAAATGGGAGGGGTGGTAGATTTGCCACCTTGGTGTGAGAACAGGTTTTCCACAACCCACTGGTTTTCATTGAATATCTCAAGATAACCTCAGGGCCGGCAAGGGATCAGGCTTTTTCAAAGTCTGTAAGTAAGACATAGTCTTCTACTCCCAAGTCCCTCAATCTCTCCCCACAATACTGGTCTGCATCTAGCAATAGGTGACAAGGGACATTTTGATTCACTCCGTAAAAAGGTGTCCATGTCACAAGTCAAACAATCCACAGGAAGATAGGTAAAGTCTGGTAAAACAAATTCATTGTTTATGTTTACTGTATTCCAAAATGTCCGTGCCCTCTTCTTTTCTGAACTTATTTTTAATCCTTGTGTCGCCAATATGTGGATGGACTGAAGGTGTGGCACAAATGACGTTTTGTGTTTCATGGTTTTCATCTCACCACCAGATAATAAAAGAGTCCTGTGTCCAATGGGGTGAGGATAATGTAAAAAAAGTGCAGTTCTTCAATTAAAGTGCATGGATGAGGTAAACTAATTTTTCAAGAGTTCTGTGTGTAACGCCTGGTGCCGTGCCCTTTCAGACAGGAACCATTCGCCCTTGTAGTTGTTGCATCTGGTTCCTCATTCCCTGGACGCTGCTCAGGATTTTATTCTGATGTGCAGGGGAAGTGATGCCAATCCTTGTTAGGTCACTACGTGGAGGAAAAAAGGAAATTCTATCTTAATTCAACTGTTTTGTGACATTTAAGGAATATGCTACACAACGTTGGCCAAAGCTGACAAACCTAAAAGAATATAAGTTTCCGGGCAACAATGGAACTAAGATTTATTTTTTAACACCAGGTTTATCCAGCATTTACCTTCCACCACCCAACAACAAACAAAAAATGACACCAATAAAGACAACCTTTTCAAGACCATAAAATCTTTGCTAGCAATTCGGCATAAAGCCCTGAAAGTACAGTCAACTCCTTACTCGCCACTTTCCCATAGATTCTACTCCCATTTCTGCATTCCTGGCAATTGCTACTATCATGTGTCAAGATACTACATAAAGTACTATTACTATTTGTTAATTACGAACATGTAAGGTTCTGAGGCACACCGAAAAATGTTTTTGTTTTTTTATATTTTTGTTAATTACATAGAGAACGCTACACCTTTCTTTCACCCATTCCATCTAAAATTGTTTAGTAAATGTATCTGATTATATTTACTTACTCTTGATTTACATGCACGACTGCCTCCAAGCTGGTGTATCCGGCCGCTGTGAAGTTATCTTTGTATCTTTCCATCTTGATGGCCTGCAGCCAATCCACCACAGACACCACCTGGGACCACTCAGGCGAGCTTGGGTCCAGCAGAGCCGTGTTTGTTCTGCCATATTCAGAAGAAAAAGAAACTTAATAAGACACCGTCTGCATTTAGTGAAGATTTATCAAAAGGAGAGCAAACAACATATTCCACATACTGTCATTTCCTAAAACATTCTATGAAAGTTCATTAACGTTGGATTGCATGTTCAATATCCAAAAGCGGATGTTTTTTGTCTACTAAAGAACATTCAAACTGTAGGACCCATATTGTTGCCACTGACTTGACCAGTTGGACAAATGGTGCTAGGCATTGAACCAGTTTACTAGATGGCCTATCAACAATGAATGGGTTACAAAAACAGTATTCTTTCTTTTCATTTTTGTCATAATCAGAAATTCCAAAACATTGCTACTCTTGAATAGAACATTAGTAACATTCTATTTGAATAATCAACAATCTGCTAAAAAAGTTAAATATATATATTTTTTATAGATTGTTCCATTCATGTTTTTGTGGGCAGATTAATTTTAGTTTGTAGTCGTGTGGCATAAAAAGGCAACAATAACAATAAAAAATCTTCAAGGTTTGTTTTATATTCATGCATTTAAGTATTAGAATATGTAAACTGAGAGAGGCTAAATTTTCATGTTTAGTATGACTGCACACTCAGTTTACTGCTTTTGTCTGGGAAAGTCACTATCTTTTAAGAGATTTCTGGCACTCCCTTAAGAAGAAGCACTAGCTAAGTGTTGCCGAATTATATCTTCCTTAGTGGAGTGTGTGTGGTTTTTTTTAATCCAAGCTTCTATATAGTAATAATTCTAACAATCCATCCAGTTATCTGTATACATTTGTGGCAACAATTCTCTTCTATTCAGAAACAAGAACATTTAACACCACAGACCACATGTTCCTTTGAAACCAAGGTTCCTCTTATCATTAAATGCACCCTTTGGCAATGCCAGAACAGAACAGTAGTTATGGAACAAATTAACGTCTGAACCCAATCTTGGTCTTTTAATATGAAGGTATCAATAAGTGTAATGTTCACTCATGTGATGGTGGGTTTAGTCAAAGTGTGTTCTTCTTTCGCAAGTACTAAAATGGCATAAGCTGAGTGGTCCTACAATGAGCGCAGTGGATTATCCAACAAATCTCTATTAAGTTACATATAGACATACTATCTAGGAAAACAAGCCAGTCACCGAATAATGTACTATATTATTCTGAATTTGTTTCCAATGAAAAGATCCCAATCAATTTTACCCTCCTGGGCTCTCCGAGAACAGACAAAGCCCAGCTTGTTGGGGAGATAATCCCTTCTATAATCAAAACGCTCATGAAAAGCACATAGGATGGATTTGGCTAGCATAAGAGCTTCTTTGATGTTTGGTTTGAGGAATTCCCTTCTCCTCATCTTCCCCTGCACTGGACATTTCAAGTAATTACTTAAGTAGTTCGTTGGCCAAGATGAGCAATATATCCTCTTTACTTATGATGCACAGATAACCAGCCTTTACCAAAATTCCCTCGTAAGAAAGTATTTTTGTTTTCTTGTTTTTAATTATGATATTTTAGTGTCATGTACTACATTTATTTAAAAAAGAGCCTACCCTTAAAAGTTTGACAATTGTTCTTTTAATCATGAAATGTGTTGCACAATGTCTAAACTTGCTATTCCATCGACTTTGACAAATACATTTCACAATACGTATAACAAAGCATGTAAATAAATGGTGACAAACTGTTTAGGGCGTGATCAAGAGGTGATGGGGCTTGGTTCAAATAGGTTTGCATTCTAACGGAATATGCATTCTACACATTGTATTTAGTGATGAAAATATCATAGATAAATAAAGTAAATAAATAAATAAATAAATAAATAAAAATCTGACATTTAGTTGTAAGCCCCTTAGCATTTTGAAAATTCAGACATCCGCAAAGTGATTAATACCGGCATAGCGACGTATTACTAAAACTGTAAATTCAATAAGCTTTCCAGTGGAGCCTCATCAATGACTGCCCAAGGGAATCCTCCTGCTTTCTAAAGTATCCAATCAATATCTTTAAACACAGATACTTAAAAAGCTGTACAGTGTGGTTACAAATGTAAAACAATCAGATGGATTCAGGGTCAGGACAAGGAGGAAAGGATTAAACCGTTTTTTGTTATAATCCACTCCCATTTAAATAATTGAACATATCGATGCAAATATGTGATGATTGCTTCCCAGTGGGACTTGTAACCTATTCCTTTAACGTGCCTGATACAAAATAGCTCATAAAAAGCCACAATTATAAATCGATCAGATTTCAATCTACTAGGGTAAAGCACTTTGTGTCACTGCTTGAAAAATCTCGAGTCTGAGGGTTTTTATAACAGCTTAAAATGTGGGTTATTAAGCTCATTTTATTATTTAAAAAAATACTATTTAAAGACACAATAATTTAATCAGTATGTCAGTTTTAAGGCATTTCTGCTGACCTGGATGTGTCAAGTCCTGTCCTTTTTAAACTGTTTGGGTTCCTAATAAGCTTGTCCAGCATGCTGACAATCTGTGCAAACTTGGGTCGATCGCTACGCTCTTTCTGCCAGCAGTCGAGCATAAGTTGGTGCAGAGAGATGGGACAGTCCATTGGTGGTGGCAGACGATATCCTTCTTCTATGGCTTTAATGACCTGAATAACAAAAAAACATTGCATTTATTTCTAACAGTGGCATACGATCACAAACCAAAACAGTTGATTTTCAGTGCAGTTATGGCAACAGTTTTCAAAAGATATATTTAAGTATTCCTTGCATGAAAAAACAGCATTATTTTATCTAGGCTAAAAAATTTCAAGCCGTACAGTACTAGCCAGTCCTTAAACGTTATTTGCCACTGCAACCCTGGAAGATCCATGGCATTGTATCAAGGTTTGACATTCCATTGACGGGGGTTAAATTTGCACTCGCCAATGGTGTTGACATTTTGAGCCTTGCTTTTATGATGCTATAATACACACTAATAAAGCCTAACACGTATGTATATACGCACATTTTGTATTTAAAGGACCACTATAGTGCCAGGAAAACATACTCGTTTTCCTTGCACTATAGTGTCCTGAGGGTGCCCCCACCCTCAGGGACCCCCTCCCGCCCGGCTCTGGAAGGGGGAAAAGGGTAAAAAGTTACCTTTTTCCAGCGCTGGGCGGAGAGCTCTCTGCCTCCTCTCCGCCTCCGTTCCTCCTCCTGGGCTGAATGCGCACGCGCGGCAAGAGCTGCGCGCGCATTCAGCCGGTCTCATAGGAAAGCATTCACAATGCTTTCCTATGGACGCTGGCGTGCTCTCACTGTGAAAATCACAGTGAGAAGCACGCAAGCGCCTCTAGTGGCTGTCAATGAGACAGCCACTAGAGGAATAGGGGGAAGGCTTAACCCATTAATAAACATAGCAGTTTCTCTGAAACTGCTATGTTTATTAAAAAATGGGTTAACCCTAGCTGGACCAGGCACCCAGACCACTTCATTAAGCTGAAGTGGTCTGGGTGCCTAGAGTGGTCCTTTAATGAAGCAAGCATTCTGTATCAAGTTTCATAGGGTTTCAGGGTGGCAGGTTTCTGAGTCAGGTTTTTTTAGTGATGTCAAAAATATCCAAAAAAATAGAATCACTTTTAGTGACCTCTTTAGGAGAATTATATACTACTTTGTCACTATGTATTGGTTTTGTATTAAATAATGTCTATAATCACATGGATACTTTTACCATTTATGAATAATACTGGTTTTGCACTATGCATTTCCTAAGGTATAGGTTGTTAATCTCATACTGTGCTGACTATATTTTATATGTCTGAGTATGTGCATCATATTTCATTGTGATGGTTTTCAATATAAAACCACTTGAGAAAGACGGCCAACATACCCACTAGATGAGAGAATATGAATAAACCACTGCTGATGCAGGACTTAAAACCTAACAAGATGGGTGGCCAAAGTCTGGATCTCCAGGTGTTTACAGACTACAATTTTGAGAATTTGTTTTAATTATACCAGTTGAGACCAGCAACAAATTAGCAACCAGTTTATAAACAAAGAACAAACAGAGATTTTTCCTTTAAGTTCCACCTTGAACCTTCCAGACAAGGAAACCTCTATGAAAAAAATATCAAATTTCTTCCTTTTCATTTTGTATGCAAAAAAAAAAAAATACAATCTGGACAATTTCCCTTGTTGCTATCATTAGGTTTCGGTGGGTCACCCAGAGACAGATGTCTGCATATGATCCCTTATGAGTCTGTCCAGATGGTTCACTTAAAAAAGATATGCATAATTTAAAAAGAGCCATTTAGTGAATCATTTTTTTTAATGTTCCCAAGAGACAGCCATTTAATTGGCTCAAGAAATAATTACACCAGCGATGCAGTGCTTCACAATACAAGTTCTTCAAGTAATGAATTTGTTAACAAACCACTAAATATTACAGATACTTTATACACCTATATATTTTTTTCCCAGCATGTCTTGCCTAATGATGCCATAATATTAATAACAAATGCTATGGTTATGTAAATAATGCTAATTACACAACCAAGGTTCCAATTATTGAACCTCACAGACACAAAAACTATCGACAAGATACATTCTAAGACACCAGTGTTTTAACTAAACACCCAGAGTTTAATGTTCGTTATTTTAATTTAATGGGAGATTGAACTGCACACATTTATTACACTTCTAAGTCCTGGTCTCTTTGTAGCTCTTCTAAGTGGATGATTTTACAGGTTAGTACTTACATCTTGATTGGACATGTCCCAGTAGGGCCTCTCTCCATATGACATCACCTCCCACATGACAATGCCATAACTCCATACATCACTAGAAGACGTGAATTTACGGTATGCGATAGCTTCCGGCGCCGTCCATCTAATGGGAATTTTTCCTCCCTAGAAAAATAGAATCCAGTAAACTCAGGGAATTCTGAATGTTTGCTTCATGTAAATCAAATAATGAATAATATTATTATTTTACTCTATCAGCCTCCATTGACTGCACTAGAAGGTGACCCTTTTCTTATCTATTTACTTCCTTGCATTACTTGACGGCACAACCTCTCAGAAACGACACTTCACATTTTCTAAAATATACAGTATTGATATATATATATATATATATACTCCTGAGCCCTTTAATAGAGTGTCTGAAATATAGCGTGAAACACACTGTTCTGCAAGCCTGTCTGTCACTTCAGATGAAGATCTTTTTTGCTTGGTAACCTAAATCCCAGCCTATTTAAAAAGACCTGTCTGCTATGAAAGCAAGGGACCACCCAGATTTACCTGTGTCTGAGCCATACATTAGGTCTCATTGCTCTGAAAAAACATGTATTTTATTCATTTACATCTCTGCTTGGGCTCATCTGTGTAAATATGAGTCCGTGTACTATTTAGAGATCTAAAATACTACAATGCGAATGTAAAAATGTAGGGATCGTGGGGAAATCTGTTTTATACCAGGAGCATGATACTTAGAAGTGAATCTACATTCAGCTCTGACTGCAGTGAAAGCAGACATGAATCTAAACCCATCACCATGACAGGGCTATAGACCTACAGCAGAAATACTGAAATTTGGCTCCCCAGGATAATTCACACAGGCAGAGCATCTTCAAATGTAGTTCAAAAACAACTGGTAAGCTTTATCTTCACTAGTCTAGAACGGACACAGATATCCTTTTATAAGCTCATTTAAGCCCTTCTGGTCAACCAGCATTGTCTGTCCTTGTTTTGTTATTTTTTCTTTGTTTTTCTATTGTACAGCTTGAGGAATCTGCTAGCACCTTTAGATTGTAAGCTCTTTTGGACAGGGCCCTCTTCACCTACTGTTCCCTTATGTCAAACATGTTTTGTTAGAATTAAATGTGTGTCTAGTTTACCTATAGTACAGCACTCTGTAACATTCTGGCGCTATATTAATAATTGTAACTGTACAACAAAGCAAATAACATCTATAACAAAATTAATGTGTCTCACTCGAGTTAGGTTTTGGATGTTTCAAGTTTTTCAACAAATCTTTCCATTTCAGCCTATTTACACTTTCCAAGTCACGGATCACAAGAATGCATTCTCTGCTATAAGGTTGCATTATGCCTTTCTTAAAACAAAACAGTGAAGGAGTTAAATATCAAGTGCAACAAGATCCATGCTGGTATGTCTTCAATTAATGGAAAAGCCAACAAGGGTTTGGCTTCCTTAGCAGGCCTCAGTGCTTGGTTAAGTTTGTAAAGAAACTCCTTGATTCTTATCTTTCCTCGATTCACTTGGCTGCGATCCTGCCACTGATACACATAATTGTTGTGGTAATGCACAAAGTGTGTTCCCTTTTCAGACTCCCCCCCTTCTTATAGTGCTTTTTGTTCAACTCGGAGCTGTTTATGTAAACCCCAAGTCATTGAGGCTGAGGAATGCGGCATGAATACATGGCAATGCACATTGTGCTATGTGAGGCCAGATGCCTTGGCAGTAATTATACAGAGATCTGTTTGCACCCACTTTATCGGCAACTGTAAGCAAAACAGCTGTGCACAACACATTGCTTATACTAACTAAACTACCAGTGCCCCAGGCTATATAATCTCCCAGTCATGGAGAAAAGGCACATTTGGAACGAATCCTACTGACACTGGATACAAAGCTCACTGATTGGCATCAGTGATTTGTATGCCAGACTCTAACTTTAATATTTGATTGACCTCTTGCTTGCTTGCCAAACTCTCGCTTTGATTTTTGATTGACCTCTTATTTGCGAGACAGAACGCTAGCTGTATGGCTGAAAACACTTCATATTTGCTGGTTGGCAGAAACAGCTGTATACAGTTTGCAATGTAGCAAAAACCAAACGTGCATTCCACATTCTATTAAGTTCTTTTCCAGTCCTGGATGTGCTATACTTTGTATAAAGGATTGTGCTTTTCACATTCCACATTTTTTTTCCGTTCTTTTCCAGTCCTGGATGTGCTATACTTTGTATCAAGGATTGTGCTTTTCACATTCCACATTGTATTCCGTTCTTTTCCAGCCCTGGTTGTGCTATACTTTGTATCAATGAATTTGCTTTTTTCCTTACCCTGGTGGTGTAAGCTGCCTCCGGATCGTCTTCCAAAACACGAGACATGCCAAAGTCAGAGACCTTGCAGACCAAGTTGCTGTTTACCAGGATATTACGGGCAGCCAGATCCCGGTGCACATAGCTCATATCAGAGAGATACTTCATGCCTGATCCAATACCTCTCAGCATCCCCACTAGCTGAATTACTGTAAATCTACCATCATTCTTCTGAAACAAAAAAAATTGATTAGTGTTAATAATAGGTGCACGTCTTCTTCAAATGACAATGGAGACCACAGTATCTTAAAATAACATTATTTTTCACAAGGAAATAGTGGGAGACAATTATTTTAATCTCTCTATTTCTAATATGGATCAGAATCATTGAATCTTTAAGTTCTGATAATATGGCACTGGATTTTTTAAAGATAATTTAGCATCTGTTGGAGGGTTAGTTAAGCTTTGCACCCCTATATGTTTACAACTACAATTCCCACAATGCTTAATGATGTTCTGCCAGCCTTTAGGTCGATTAAGGCTGAGTTTAGGTGCCAGAAATTGTTCTTATAGAATTATTATTACTTTTACCGGAGTGTGTTCTAAAAAGTTTCTTATGTTGTGTGATGGTCAGCTAAGGGCAGTTAGAGGGACACTCCACTGCCCAAAATAAAAAAATAAAAAAAGTTAAAATCACTATTTTGTACATATACCGCTAGTGAGATCATGCATGCATTTAATTATGTGCAAAAGCAACAGATCTCTTATCTGAAGTTTTTTTCAAGCTCTCCCTTTCTAACCCAGCCCAGACCTTCTATGGCTGTCCAATCACAGACTTCCCATTGCAGCTCAAGTCTAGGCCTTTAGAATTCATCTCCACTGAGCTAAATAACCTTGTAGTAACAAGACCTGTTTCTTATTGACAGCCAGGGGATTGTAACCAGGTTAATTTATAAAAGTGTCAATTTATTTTGAAATATGCACTGTTTGTAAAATGAAACTGATGACACATATTCCCACATAAAGAACTTCAGAAAGCTAAAGTGACTTTAGGGTCAGGGGTGTTTCTTTAAATGAATGTATACAGTCACAGACTATATTCAAAGAAAACGGAATGTAATAAATACAGTTGTGTAACAGTGTAAATTATGACAAATTAGTGAGGCCCCTGGAGCAGCTACAATGAAGTCAGCTGACAGCTCATGTTTAGTACTTAGATGGATGTGTGATTAGTGCTTGGTTGCGTATTTTATAATGTATTGGCAGGCTGCAAAACACTCACCCGAAGAAAGGCATCTAACGATCCATTCTCCATGTATTCTGTGATGATCATGACTGGTTTGCCTGTGATTTGGACAGCAAAGGGTGTTAAGGGCTATGTGGAGATGCAATATTTTTGCCATTATGTAGATTTTACAATTTAACATGGAAATTTAGTGCATTCTGATAAACACACCACAACGTGAAGGTTTGAACATAATTACAAAAACAAAGAAAAACAAAACAAAAAAGCAGATTCCTCCACATTTTCCATACTAGAGCTGCAATTCCATTTTTTTCCTGGCCCAGTACGTGAAATATGTATCACATGACAGGTTCATAGTGGGTGCCTGCTGCATTGTTTGCATAATTACCATTTAAATGTGTATGGAAATGCAAGCCTCTTTCTATCTTGGATCTCTCTCTCTTTACAGAACCCCCGTCCGCCAGTTCTGCTGCTATGAGAGCTGCCGCATATTTTAATGCTGTGCTTGCAAGGGCTTTATTCAGATTTTATGGTTTCATAAGTCACAGAAGATGATAATAACACACCGCTTGAATCAAAAATCAGGAACCCAAAGTTTGATGTAAAATCAGAGGGATGAAAAAGGGCTGATGGTTTGCCCTGTCGGATTCATAACCACATTAAATGGCCTCTCAAGGTCACAAAGAATTGCAGCCCAGAAAATTCACACTTTCAAATGAGTAGGTATTAAAATATGCTATGTATTTGGTGAATCATTGCAGTGTACGTCTTGGCTGTGCAGCCAAAGCACTATGACAAGAGTTCTCTGCAAATATCTAAGCAGATGGTAACAATAAAAAAATATATATATATTATAACCCATTAGCCGCTAGACTATACTAGAACGGTTTGAGTTTTATAACGTGGTTGTTGTGATGGAACTTAACAAAGGAATGGAGCTGCGGGTGCGGTAAGCATTTGATGACTTTGTTGCTAGATTCCATCGGCTTCTGGTACAACAGATGACTGCAAATGAGTTTTAATGAAAGTCGCTTCCTTTGCAAGATGGATCGTTAATTGCCACTAGCGCGATCTGTGTTGCAGTATTATGCGCCAGCAGAGGTTAAGCTTACGGACCATGTTTTCTTTCTCTTGTCCAAAAACAGAAAGGAGTTGCGGCCATCTGCTCCCTGCCTGTACTTTAACAATTAGCTCAGTCTAGCACAGCGGCCAAGATGTCCTTGGCTACCCCAGAAAGTGTGCCATATGCACCTCACTCTAAAACCTGCAACATTCCCGCCTTGAGAGTGGGCAGCTGTGATAACCCACATTGGGGGGAGAGGGTTACAAAAACTTTTAAAATGTATTTATTTACATCAAGATGGCTGGGATGTACCACCAATATAAACCATCTTATAACTAAACTGTTGTAGCTGTTATATCTGCTATATTTAAAAAATGTTCTGAATCTGTAATGCATCTATTAAAAAGATGTATTATAGATGATACTATAGAGACATGAATATATTCTTCAATTTTCATCTTCAACATGGGAAGGTTTGGGAAACAGAAATTACTTCGGGAGGCATAAGCTTCTCTGTTGAGATGGGTTTTGAGGGACTTCTTAAATGATTGAAGACTAGGGGAGAGTCTGATGTTCCAAAGGAAAAGAGCCACCCCTGAGAAGTGCTGCAAGCGTGAGCTGGCAGTAAGAATCTGGGTAGCGCACAGGAGACGTTCACCGGCAGAGCGGAGAGACCGAGAAGGGGCATATCTACGAATCAGTAAAGAAATGTAAGAGGGTCTAGAGTTGTTTAGAGCTTTATAAATCAGGCTTATTATTTTGAATGGACACCTATAGGATTCAGGAAGCCAGTTTAAGGATTGACAGAGGGGTGAGATATGAAAAGAGCGACAGGAGAGAAAGATCAGTCTGGCAGCAGCATTCATTACAGGCTGTAGCGGGACAGTATGCCTTCTAGGGAGACCAATTAGGAGAGAATTACAGTAATCAATGCGAGGAATTACAGCATGAAGAAAATCTTGTATAAGAAAGAAGCGGACGCGGGCAATGTTTTTAAGGTGGAATCGGCAGAATGTAAGGCATAAGGATGAGGCCAGAATCAAGGGAGGTAGATAGAAAAAAAATTGAAAAATAAGAAATAGATGAATAAAATAACTAAGACAGGTATTCTTGAGTAGATCTTTTAGAAATGCTACCTCTGCATAAGGTTTTGGGTGCAAGTATCTGAGTCCTGAGGGCACACTTACGAGTGCTGTTTGGGGTACAGGCTCTGCATGGTACACAAAGCAGAGTGATATTTGATGGATGGAGTTGTAAAGAGAGCAGTACTGGTTGCAATGTTATAATGGAAACTTTTTTTAGTAGCTGGTAGCCACTCCCAAGAAATCTACAGCTTTCTTTCTTTTTTTTTTTTTTTTTTTTTTTTTTTTAAAGCAGACATTAATAGGGGTGACATAGAAATTAAATTAAAAGGCATGGAGCTTACATTTGGTGACAACACCTTCGAGATGGATAATGTTTGGGTGGTCAAACTGGCCCATAATGCTAGCCTCACTTAAGAAGTCCCTTCTTTGCTTATCCGTGTATCCTGCTTTAAGAGTCTTGATAGCCACGTATATCTCCCTCTTTCCGGGAACTTTCAGGCGTCCACTGCATACTTCTCCAAATTCACCTGTGATCAAGGAATGGGTTTTTGAGATAATAGCACATCAACTGATGAAACAAATACAAAATAATGCAAGAAAAACATAACACAGGGAGTACTCACTCCAAGTCTCACTTGATAACATCACTACTATAAAAATGTTGTGAATGTATCTGTACCTAAATCTATATGTGCCTTTAAATACTTTTTATGTTTATGTTGTCTTTATTAGGATGAATTTTCCTGTTTGTTTTTGATAACATTTGTCTCAATAACAATTCATTATTTGCTATGCATTTCTGTGTCCTGCACGCTTTGTTAGACTATACATATATAGTGCACCTACCGAGATTAGGTTCTGAATCTGCCCCCATCTACTACATTTTTGTATTTTAATTTTGTTCTACTCAATATTGCTTGCTGTTTTGTATTTTTATTTATCTATTTCTAATTTAAAACAATGCTTTTACCAGAAGATTCCTTTTCCGGAGTGTGCTACTTACCTACGCCAATGACTTTTTCAATCTTGATGCATGAAGCATCTATTTCTTTAGCAAATTCACGGACAGCTTGGTTGGGGTCTTCGTAAGTGAAAGGGTCCACGTATGTTTTTACACCTGGCAGAGAGAAAACAGGATTTTCGTATTATTATGAAGAAAAAAATGAAAAGGCATAGACGCGTTTGTGTTCTTTTTATTTGTCAAAGGCTTGCTCTGTTTAGGCTTTTCTGCTGCTTGACTGATATACCCCCATGATATACCATTGCATGCGATTTCATTAGCACTTACACATGTTATTCAAACAATAAGAATTACACAACACACAGACTCTCACTTTACCTTGGTTTAAATGCTTCTCTTCGTCTGCTTCCTGTTTTGCTTTGCTGTATTTGCTGCGCCTGAAGAGTTAACAAGAAATGAGAGAGCCATTAGGATAGATGCTATCTTATGAAAAGCCACATAACTGCATGGAGGCAGAATGGCACCACATACTGTGTAAAACCATACCAGTGCCTTGTAGGCAAGGCTTATGACCTTGCAGTGAAGACAAGGGCATGTGGCTCTGAACAATAGATTGTATCAAGGATCTGTAAAATGTTTTAACCAGCAGAGATGGGGACATGGCAGCACAGGGCAAAATTCATGGGTTTATGTTTACAGACTTCTAAAAAATCTCTATTTTTTTTAAGTAACAACTCTCATCATGCACAGCTACCAAAAGGTACAGTAAATACTATGAACTAGGACTCCATGGTTATATTACACAGCAACATATTCATAGGGTTGTATGATCCTGTAAAATGCTAGAGGCATAGAGATTTACATCTCACCAGGCTGAACTGAGGAAAAACAAGTTAAAACCAAAAGAAATCTAGATAATGCAACATTTTGACATTAATTAGCATTGGTTTAGATCTGGGTTGAATGGGCAGGGGTAATTAAGGCAATGAGTGATTGTCTAATGGAGCTTTGTCTAAAGAACACAGGACTGCTGATAAAACACTAATTGAAAGCTTTTATGTGTTTAATGAAAACTACCATAAAACCCATCCTCCAAAGGCCTTATCATATGTCCCACTTTCCCCCACCCCCAAGAGCAATTTGAAGAGCTATACTCACTAAATAGTGACCTATGCTACGATGATATGTCTGATTTAAAAAATCTAAGATTATTAGGCAATAGTTCATAATTAGAATAGGGTCAGAGCAGAGATAAAGGAATTTTAAAAAGTGCAAATGTTAGGCTAGGTGTGTCTGACCATTCCTCAGGTGTCAGGGTCACACAAAAGGAACATTTTTCCCATGGGATTTCACTGTAAACAAAGGCATGTTATGTGTGCATATTGTGAGATACCAGCCAAGTGAATATTATATATATATAGACACAAAGACTCAAGGTGCACTGGTCAGATAGGTCAGCTTTGATCGGGTATTTTTTGTAACCTCTGACATCTGCTGAAGCCAGCCTGGACCCAAAATAAATACAAAATCCGATACCCAGCTGAAGTCCTTCCAGGGATGTTTTGTAAAAAACAAAGTCTTGAACATGAGGTGAATCACTGCATTTAAATAAATGGAGTAGGTGGGATTAACGCTTGGCTGGCACAGGGTTAAAAACAACACTAAATGTTCTGATATGATCTCATGTAAAACTAAACTGCAACCCAAGCAAATCAGATTTAAAATACAAACAGGTGCTTACACTGTTATTACAACATGTAAGCAAATTCCCGTACATGAATTTTATTTTTACATTTACGTTAATTGTTTTTTTGGGGGGGGGGGGAGAGTTGATCATCAGCCCATTAAACTGCATACCAGTCAGCCAGACTATGGTATCAACATGGAATGCTGAGGAATATTACATTATTTCATTAAAAGTGTTATGCAAAAAAAAAGTTACGGAATCTATATTGTTTTTTTAACAAAAAAAAAAAGGAAAACAGAACTCACTCACTTCTATAATATCAGTCTGCTAACTAGAAAATGCTTCCAAAACCACCTTCTAGAAAACAGCATTGGAAGTAAGAGAGTGTACAGGAGACAATCTGCTGCAAATGACAGAGACGCCATCTGCCTTTCCTTCTGTGCGCAGCTTGCATAACCTCATTAACCCCGTGGTTACCAAAAGGGTGTGTTGAAAGTGCACTTATTTAACAGGTTAAAATGTAGGCAGAGAAATATTTACTGCTATCATGATGGGTATGGGCACAGTGCTAGGGATAGAAGAAGAAAAAAACCAAAAAACAAATAAAGGGCATGCAGTAGATACTCCACCGACTGATTCTAGTCTTACTTAAAAGTCTAAAAAGGGTTAAAAAGCTGGAACCATGATGACAATATAATCACCATATATTTTTGAAAGATATATTACACTTTGAGGAGTGAGAAAAAGACAGAATGTAGCAGTCTCGAAATTAAGGTGGGCTCAATTAAGGTTACTCCCTAAAGTGCGGATCGTAAAGAATTCAAAGTGACTTTCAAATTTTAAGTTAAAATATTCACAGTGTAAAACATAGCTGACTTGGAGATTTTCTTCTCATTTCAGCTATTTTAAGCAAAAAAAAAAAAAATATGTAGAATGCATAACAAGCCATACTTCAGTGAATAACCCCCGTTCGTGTAACCTGCAAACTAATATTTTCTTTTCATGTCCAGTGGGCAGGTGGGGGACAACTATTTCTATATTAACTGGTCACAAAATAAGCCTTGCAGACTGCAAACCCTTTAAAGCTCTGAAATTATACGCCATGTTGAAATCACAATACAAAGTTGGTATTTCTGATTTCACACTTCAGTTCTTACGTTTCTACAAACCCTTTCCGATACCGTTACACATGAGGCACAGAAAAAAAAAAAATCTGTCCAAGGGATCTCACGCTCACCGTTAGCAAAATTGTCTTTATTTATACATCTTAACGCATTGTTCCGTGTGCTGACCTAAAGAGGAAGGACAGTTTGAATTCGCATTAGGAGCTATGGGCATGTCATCTCCCCAGCTCTTGGCTATGTTCCCGATGACAGCTTTACGGCTGACACTAAAAGAGAATCAATGAAAGTCCAAAGGGTCGATGTTTCATTTTCCACTAAAGTGATCCATCGAGGACCAATCACTGCCTGCTTTCCATCGACCTAAGCCAGCCCTCACTTTTGTTGTTAACGAAGGATCATGATCGTAGATGCCTGTTACAATAATGGACACGTTTCCGCTATGTGCAGGCCTACTGTTAAACAGATATAAAGTGTCACCAACACAAAGCTCCTATATAATGCTCAGCAGGCTACTTCCTGTAATCCAATACGGATTATATGGTCAGAGCCAAACGTAAGGAATAAGCACAAATACTATGGCAAATAAGGTTTCGCTAATTTAACTTTGTAATACCTGTGGCCGAGACGTTTTGCTGGCTGAGCTACAGAGAACTAAAGATGTACTCAGCAGGAGCATCAAAGATGGCCGCATCCTAGATAATATAGCAGTTTATGACATGGCTATGAATTCTGGTGAGTTGATAACCAAAATTTAGGCCACAATAGCCAATTCAGTAAACTAAAGGAGAGGAGATTTTTCTTTTTCTTTTTAAATCATCTATGTTGGATTAATATTTGGTTGCCTAGTAATTGTAAATTAATGAACTGCTATGTAAATTGCAACCTTTGTATTCAATTTTAGTTTTAAAAAATAAAATGTGGAGATAACAAGGGTAAAGTCAGGATGTACCGTCTCGTTAGAAATGTAAAAAAAAATTTCAATACGTTTAGTACGCACTGTTATATTGGGACTTCCTCTGCTATTGTTTTGGTTCACACTTATTGTAGTTCCTTGGATGGTGTCTTTTGTAAACGTGTTGTTTACATGGTGAGCATTGTATGGATAAAAATATCCACAGACTTCTCTACAATACAATTTGTGAAGTGAACAAATACCAAGAGACAGGAAGCTAGCATTGTTTGAATTAGCTTTTTTTTTTCACCCAAAATTATTTTTAAAAAAAACCATTTTGTAATAATTTATTAAATAGCTTACAAAATGTTAATATATTCCCTCGACTGTAAAGCTGGCATTTATGACATACAAATCGGATGAGCTTAGTGCATGGCTGAGCAATCTCGGCATTCTAAACTGTTGCTGGACTACATATCCCAGAATTCTCTGCACGCCTTATGGTTGAGCCTTAGCTTAAGGGCCAATTAGACACCAAGGTACAGTATGATTACTTGACTTACGCAGACACTAATTCACACATAACCGTTGAAATGTTCATTTTTAGTCAATTAATGGATGTCATTCTCTGTATAAAGGGACTTGAAAATGAACCTAATACTGTATTTTGCTATATATTAATTGTGAGGACGCAAGTCAATTCGTTATATAATCCAAGAATACAGGCACATTCTGTATTAAAAGACGAATAAAGATCAGAATCCTTTGGAATTTGGAAGTAAGCTGGGAACCAATCAAAAGGCATCATAAAGAGCTGCTGCATAATATGTTGGCAAATTTGAATAATATAATAAATAAAATAAAAATCATGGCCAAAGCAAAGCTGTCCAAATATGTTTACGTAAATTTCAAAGTAATAATAATAATAATCCTTAAATAAAATGTTGAGATGAGTTCCACTTCCTTGCCATAGACTATAAGGGGGGAATACGCCTATGTGCTAGTTTAGCAGTGTGTATTGAGGCTAATGATAGCTCCACACAACATAAAAAGGACCCCAGGAATTAGCGGAATTCATTTTCCATCTGAAGTGGGACTCCTGCTGCAGGCTTCATGATGATAAGGCAGGCTGCTGTTGTACTCCTGCTGGGGAGATCAAAGCTCTTAGTAGGGCTTGTAATGTGGAGACTATGTTTAGATGCTAATCAGAGAATGCAGCTTTGTTTCAGGTTAGCAAACTCCACCCCAGGAGAGGAAGGTGGAGGGGGACTGCTACAAAAGCCTAAAAAGAAATTCTATGCAACTTAAAAATAGCTGGTATTGCTGATCTCACAAAACTGTTACCTTCCTCTTCCAAAAAAAAAAGTTAGTCAAGCTTCATTAAAATGCATATAGGAGACATAGGGGTGAACAGTGTGTTATCAGAAAAATAAGGCTGAGAAGGGGTTCTGCAGAATTCATCTTAAACCACAAGACGGAAGATTAAAGTCGGAGGGATTTCCATTTGTCTCCAGAACCTTGTGGTGTCATTATTTTCCCCCAATACACACTTACAATTTTTATATTTTATACTATATGATATTTTAAGTTTAAGGCTAATTTTAGTGTAACATATGGATTAACACAGTGAGAATGTTAGGATAGTGAAGGAGGTTAAGTGATGGTGTAGTATAGTGGTTAATATATAATTGAGAGTGTAGTTTGTTAGGGCAATGCAGGGGTTAATGTGTAGAGTTGTGTGTTGAGGCAGTGTAGTGCTAATATGTATCTATTTAGCAATAGTATAGTGAGTTAGGGTAATGTAGAGGCTAATGTGCAGTGTAGAGGATAAGGGTAGTGGTTAAGGAAAGGTTACATTAGTAGACGTTACATAAACCCTTAGATTAACTTAACCCAGACACTAAACCAACACTAAACATTAACTTCTACACTACTTAGTCCTATCACTAAACAGTAACCCCTGCAATGCACATCAAACCCTACGCTACACTATCCATAACTTAAAAAATATATTGTACAAAAAAAAATACACAACAGGGAAAGCTGAAAGAGGGTAAAATAATGCCACCTCAATGTGTATGCACGCACACACACATACGTGATGAGAAAGAAGTCGTCTTCTTGTTTAACCAGTTTGGGAAGCAGACTACAATATTAAGATGTAGTCACTAAATCTGTAATTATCTTATTTTTCTCCTTTTATTTGCAAGATTTAATTGGGCTTCACTCTGAATTTAACAATGGATCAGCTACAAATTATTTGTAATACCATAATAAAAATAGCAATTTATTTCTAACGGAAAAATAAGCCTTAACCCCTTGAGTGCGGGAGTCCTGATCTAATATAAGTACCCCTTTTAGTATTTCTTTTAGCAACATACTATTTAACTGTATGTGTTAGGTGCCAGAGAATGAATTAAAACCTACAACAAAAATCAGAAGAACAGAGGGCTAACAAGTAACTGTTGGGCCTTTTCTGATATCTATTTCATATACTTCGTTGGCATATACATATATTTTTCTCTCTTTCACAAGAACAGCATATAAATAATTTTAAAAGGTTTCATTCTAGCAGGAGTGGGATTTGATAAAGACTGACGCTCGGCAGGCTGCCCCATACCTTCTGCTGATGACAAAGGCTGCGATGAGAATGACCACAAGGACAATGCTGCCCGCCACTGAGACCAGAAGAACAGTAGGGTTGGCGCCCTCTCCAATCATGGGCGAAGGAACTAAAAATAGGAAAGATAAAATTACATTTGAATGATTTCAGCTCTACAAATAAAAGCTAAAAGCTGCATAGCATAGCACAGTGAACAAGCGGCACTGTTCTGATCGGGAAATGTCATCACCTGCCCTCTCCACTCATTTTTAAACTACATTTTCCATCATGCACATATATTTATCTCTCCAGGCATCATGAGCGTTGTAGTTCCAGGATAGCGGAATTAAATTGCCTCTTTATACCATTGAGAACCCTCAAGGTCACTTACATTATGCCTAAGGAGCCTTACCTGTATTTGTGGTGAACTCAAAAGGCCCACTGAAATCGCCGTATCCTGCAGCAGTACGAGCACGCACGTGAAAGACGTAGGCCGTGAGAGGATTAAGACCCTTGATATCTGCGCTACGAGAGGCGGTCTTTACAATGCGATAGCTGCGCTCATTTTGATCCTGTTTGGAGAAATAGAAATTCAATTAATTTTTTTACGCTACACTAGTGTGCCATATAACTTTCAACAAGGTTGTTTTAGCACATTGTAAACAAGAGCCAGAGACATCCATGCATTTTAGATCAATATTTCTCAACAATATACAAAAGAGATAATCTTAAACTCTGGCTCATTACAGCCATTGCGAAAAGGTCTGATTTAAATAACAGCTTTAAACATATGGTACAGTGCTGAGAAATATGGTGGTCCTTATAAATAATAACAATATTATTTGTCATGGTTATGCCACATTAAAGTCCAGAGGTAGACTAAGCATTGGCTATGAAGCTGATTACCTTTTCATAGTACTTGACTTCGTATTCCAGAATAACCCCGTTGGCTCGTTCTGGTTCTGGCCACGTTAATGACACACTGTGTCTGGTTATCTCTTTGGGCTGGATCTGAGTCACAGTTGATGGGGCTGAAAAAGAAACAGCTGCTTTAAGACCACTTTACATAGCAATGACCAAAGTCAAATTAACAGTGTCTTACTTTTATGCATCCTACCAGTCTCTTACTATTGTATATTCCCAGGATTAGCTGATCCTGAAATATATGTCAAAGTACATTCATTTCCAAGTGGGGTAGGTCTTTAAGTCATTTAGCGGGGGTAGTTATTTTAAGGACACCATGACCTCAGGCTGATAGAGAATAATGGGTTTTAAAGCTCAACATCAGGTAAACGAACACAAATGAATACATAATCAACATTCTTACATTATAACATACTCCTTGGCAAGCCTCGTCCTAGATTACACAATGTAACCAATCAAAAAGGTCTTTATATTTCTACAATGATGTATTTACATATCCCTTCTTTATTATAAACTGATTGACCTACACTTCCAATAAGTTAGACTCTGAGGCCTAGTTAACAAAAGACTCCTGAGGCATTGATAAGATCACGTGGTCATTGACCATGATACAATCCAATTGTAATGAATTGGAAAGATTCATTGTAAGTAGTTATTCAAGTTGATGATTTACACAATAAAAGGTTGAAGACTACTGTATATGATATATATATATATACTTTAGAGCTATTTATCAAGCCATTGAGTGGGTCTTTTTAATAATAGTAATTTCACAGAAGTAAAATGAATTCACTTCTCAGTAAAATAGCCCCCTTCATTAGTCTGTTTAGAATGATTGTTAAAATAGTCAAATTCATATAACACACAGATTATTTTTTTTGACAAAACAACAGTTGAGAATAAGTCATCAGAAAACAATACTGCCTAGTTTTCTTTTTTTAAGGAGTCATCCATTGTCATGTGCTTGTGATATTAAGGAAGTACTAGCCTCGGTTTTTTTATATGCACCTCTACAAAACATCATCCATATAAAAGGCAACACCCCACGAAGACTACCGAGTGACATCAATTTAACCTATAAAAATGTGCTTTTTCAGTGAACTGTTAAGAATTTAATAAAGGACATGGGACAAGGGCAGGTCTTTTTCATCCATGTGACAGGGCTGAGTTGCTGATTCATCAGTAAAATGACAATCCTGTTTAATTCCAGTTCTATGAAAAATAATAATAATAAAACAAAAACAAATCAATGTACATTAAGCAAGGGACCTATTGGGAGGGTAACAATTCTGTGGCATTGTCACAAAATGATAGACCTTGATGACAGGACGTATTATAAAGATATGGTTTCTTTGTCTACCAATGGAATGGTACACAGCACTTTCCTTAAAATCCTGCACTCATTGACTTATCCCCGGAAATATCCTACTAATATTTATTTTAACCTAGAGGACAAAATATATCTGATCTCAAATGGAATAGGGTTAGCAATAAAAAAAATTATTCTGAAGAACACCACTTTCTAAAAATGTAATCTCTTGGGAGATCCAAGAAGCAGATATAATCAGATCAACAGGAATATTTTCTGTAGATTCTAATGTATGCACAGGCAATAACTCAAATGTAATGAATGCAAAATAAATAAATATTCATATTTCCTACCAAATGCAATTCACGTCTGAAATGTATCTGGTTTTGAAGAACCCCTTTGCCAAGGAATATAGGGACACTATGTTCACTAGAACAACTACAGCTTAATGTATGTGTTCTGGTGAGTATAATCATTGCCTTCAGGCATTTTAATGCAAACACTGCCTTTTCAGAGAAAAGGCAGTGTTCCCATTGCCCCTAGGGGCAACTCCAAGTGGCCACTCCTCAGATGGACACTGGAGGTGCTTCCTGGGGCAATGCTGCACAGTAGGCAGCATTGCAGTTCAGCGTCTCCACACTCTGCATGGGGATGCTGAATTTTCCTCATAGAGATGCATCGATTCAATGCATCTCTATGAGGAGGTGCTGATTGGCCAAAACAATGTTTGGCCCCGCCCCTTTGCCAATTTTAGCCAATGGGAAAGCATTGAATTGGCTAAAAATCAGCAACTCTGATGATGTCACCAAGAGGGCGGGGCCAGTGACAGCGGTCCCGTGCAGCGCTGGAAATAAGGTGAATTTTAATTGCTTTTAAGGGGGCTAGCCACCTAAATGGTGGGTTTTGCACTACAGGGTCAGGAATACATGGTTGTGTTCCAGACCCTACAGTGCTCCTTTAAGACACATGGTGACAGACACAGACTTACATCATATTTTTATCCTCTTCATATACTCTGAGAATGTTCAATGTAATAGAGCCCACTTGTTCAATTACAGTAGTACTCCATAGCATGTTTACCATCTACATAACAATACTCTAGAAAATATTGCACTGCTTAATGTACTTTGTATTGCTGCTCATTTATAAATGTAGTGTGAGCAAACATGTCTTACATCAATTCAACTCACAATTTATTTTCCAGAGAACTAACCTGATGCAAGTGATGAGGACTTTCTGTACGAGGTTTCACTGGAGATAAGTCGTTCCCACTTATCACCTGTTAGTAAATACCCCAGAAAAAGATTTAGGGAAATGTACTAACATGCCACAAGTTTTTACCCAAGCTCATTATGAATGTGTGAAAAAAGAAAGCTACCCTCCACCTCCCCCATAAACATCCCATCTGTCTGCGTGGACAGAACCCCTTTGAAAGCCAAAATGTTAAAGCACAAGCTTTTAACGCAGATATGAGAATAAAGTGTTAATTTGACCTTTTACCCAGTAACACTTTGTTACTAAAGGAGAATCACCTACCAGAGAACATGCTTCAAAATGCTTTATCTTAAACCTAATTTCCAGATGCAGCTAAAATGGATTTGAAAGTAACAAAAGTCTGGTATGTTGATGGTTCTAGAAACTGGACTGGAATTGCTCAGCTTTTGTGTTTTTTTTTTATTAGGGCTGCAGTAAAGATGCAGTAAAGATACCGGTCTTCAAGCTTGGGGTGACACATGGTATAAAAGGCAATTAGTTCAAAGCTAAGATGTGAAGCTGTCTCAATATGTCTTCACATTTAGCTCTGATGTTCACTTCCTCCAAGCAAGACTATTAAACACCTAGCACTAATTTTACTGGTACTCTTACAGTTACTGGTATCCCTTCTGGCATACAGAACCTGCTCTAATATCACTTTTCCCCTCCTCCCAGGTGTTATAAAAAAAGTGTTTCCTGAGCACAAATTGCAGTTCAGCAGAACAGTCCAGAGCCTCGCACTAAAATCTGTCTCACATGAAGAATTGGGATGCTAAGGACTAAGTAAACAGCTGCAATTATTGTATCCAGGTCTCCAGGCTATTCAGGAGAAACGACTCTTTGTGTACAGGCCTGTAACCTGACCTGGCTAACCAAACCGCGCAATGGCCAACTCCTTCAAACTAAACAACTTTCCACACCTGACATGTTTGATCAATAATGCCAAAACATGACAAATCAGTTAGTCTTTGGAACTTCCGCTGGGTTACTTGTATCAATGGCATATGTTCTTCGGAACACAGGTTCAGCTATCTGTAACTCTTTGAGTGCATGAGGGGCAAGTAAGTCTGTCTCATTACTGGAAGTGTAAAACCAGGAGGCATTCAGACCACATTTAACATATTGACTAACCTCAAGCCACAAATTTGCTTAGCCCTGGGTGTAAACAACCATCTTCTTCATCACAAACAACAAAAAAAGGCTTTTCACTCACTGTAAGTAGTCATTGGAGTTCTTTATTGTAAAACTAGATCACACTACTTTGTTTCAAACCCTAGACTACACTGTTTGGTACATGGAAAATACCAGTCTTTATTGGAGCATGTATTTTAATTCAGGTGAATAGCGTGTATTGCAATGCAAAGGCCTATTCATTGTCAAATGTCTAACAATACACAGAACTGCAGCTATCAGGAGCCACCTTTCTGTGGATCTGTTGTGTTTGCTAATGTGTCTACATGTCTGTTCCTGGTAGAATAATCCTCTCCCAAGCACCTTCACTCTCCATTTCACAGAAAGCTTACCTGCATTCTGCCCTCCACATTCCTGCCATGCTGTTTGCATAGTCACTTCTCATCTGCTTTGTTTATCAGAACTCCAACAAATAGCCAGAATTTTTTTTTATCTCTTTGAAGTGTTACAATTCAATTAACCCTTTAAGCACTGTGTAATAATAGGAATATATATATATTTATATCATTATTATAACACTATGTTGACAGTGTTATAACAAATCGTTGGATTTGTTTTATTATATATCATTTTTACAAATGTCAACAATAAGAAATTTTAAATCTGTACTGATTTTGACTACAAACTGTGCTCCAGCAATTATTTTTGTTCTGCAGAAATGTTTATTGCAAATGGTGCCAACTAAGAAGGTCTTCAAATTTAAAAAAAAAAAATTGCTTTTTAAAAAGTGACACATCAAAAATAAATGTAAAACTAAAGCTCTGAACAAAGTAATAGACATATTAGGAGAATCGTTAAAGCAACAGGGTTCCTTGTTATCTGATGTTTTGGGGATTAAAGATAGGTATAAAAAAAGCAACACTAAACAAAAAGAAGGTCAAAACAGCAAGCAAGTTTGTACAAGGAATTTTCAACAAACTGGGAGTCAACGTCGTATTATCTAAAGGGATTTCATTTTCTATGATGTTTAATCAACACAAAAATGGTTCTAGCTCTAAAAGGGCTTAAAACCAGCATTTTCATATCTGATGAATCAATTTAACAAAACACCTTAGTGCATAGACTACCACATAATGCAATCTACAGATTGTAATTAACACTAAATGGATTTACAGGTTTGCAAGAGTGACTGCTGACCCAATGACAAGTAAATAGTAACACATTGCTGTCCAGCACTTGAAAAAAATGTTTTTAATGAGAGTGTTTTAAGGAGCAAGACAGGAAAACACACACAAGTGCAATCCATCATCTTGTTAAAACACAATCCCTGCCTGTGTGTTTGATTAGTCTTCTGTCCTCCTGATTTCTTAACATTTCTTAAACATCAGTTCTGTATGCCCTCTGCTTCCCCAATCAATCATATAGCATCCAAAGAACAGACAGTCTCCTGGGATGGAAGGGAAGAAGAAACTCAAGTGGCAGCCGAAGCAATGAGTATTAGGAGAAAGAAAATGCTACAGGCTGGTTAAGCAACAGAATTAACAAGAGTGTAAGGTCACTGTAACTCCTGCTGTCACCAGAGGCCGCCTCTGGCACTCCAAGCTGGTGTCAAACTTCATCCTAAATAATACTTAGCCGAACTTGGACTTATATTCAAGTTTTTTGCATGACTGATGTCTTGAAATTCTCAGCATTAAATGTCCTTTCTACTTGTTGGCTTTGCATTTTGGTAGTTAAAGTTCACAGCAGCAAGAAGTATTATTTTTCAATGTAAATAATGAAATATGTAACCACAAAACATTTACTGTTTACATAATGAAGAATTTAGGATGATATGAGAGGTAGGCTTCAAAAACTCTTAGGTTTCCTAATGCCAATATGAACCAGAGCTATTAAGAAAACAAGAATATGACTTGATCCAAAGCAGCTAACTACAGGCCACTTTATTTTTCTTTGCACTAAATAGAATGATGACCTAGAATTTGTAAAGTCGGCTTGTTATCAACTGTCTGGTCTTAGCAATCATACTTACTGTATATGAAAACTAAAGCTATTTTAATTTAAAATACACTCAATTTCCTAAAACAGTATTTATTCATATGCCACGATATGTCTTCCTAAGAGTTTTAGCAGGAGCGTCTGTCTAAACTTATCTCTATCCCTGAAATATGTTTTCCTCCTCACTCCTTAGTATCATGTCAATATTAGAATGCAATGCTATTCTCCCCTTCTTTCATCCAAGACAGACATGTTAAAGAGGATCTATTATCATACCGCTGTATAACCATATTTATATCTAAACAGAGGGTTCCACAGGACAATGAGAATTTTCATTTCTACACATTTGCTGCACTTCTTGGAATCACATACTGCGTAGGTAGGCAAATACGGTGGGTAAGCCTAAAAATAGGGTGGTGCTCACTGTGTTACTATATTGTTCAGCAGACTAACTTTACTATTTACCTTGATCCTTTCAATGCCAGAGGTAAGCCCAAATCACAACACTAGCTCAAAGGGCTGACACATTTTAGCTTATTTTGATATGGGTTATCATTTCAAATATCTGATGTGTTCCTGGGAAGTTTCCGAGATAAGACGTGAAATGATTGTGTATCACTAACATTATAATGGCTCTGCCCGTTGGCTAGGTTTCGCACTTCCCTTTGGAAGCATTTAATTGAACTAAATGGACAATTATATTTGATGTAACACTACAGTGAGCATCATCTTAACATTTGCCTATGTGGGCTACTTAAAGAAAAACATAATGCAGAAAGAAATGCATTAAAAAGACAGGATGTAATTTTCTAAGCAACAACAATTAAAGGGACAGTCTGTCTAAAGTACTGAAAATAATGAAACAATCACCATGGAAATCATCGGAACTAGCAGGCACATTCCATTGGCAACTCCTCCCATTTACCATTTTTTGCACCACTTTTTAGAACAGAACATTTTGAATCTCCCCCACTGAGCTTTTTTTCATAGATTCTGTAACACAGAAGAGTGTGGGAATTTGCGGTATTTCCAAAATCAGATGGGGTACTCCACAGGCTTCCTACTGGAACATATATAAAAAGAATATGTAGGACAGCTGCTGCAGGGCCAGAGACTTATTGTCACTGGGGGGTCCAAAGTCCTGCTATTCAATACTATGCTTTCACTCAAGTGATCCCAGAGCAGGTAACATTAGCAGACCTTACATGTGCAATTTAGCCAAGTACCACCTCCTGTATTAAAGTGTTTAAAATACAAAAAACAAAATAAAACTCCATGATCGATTGCGAACATAAAGATGGACCTTGTTCTGGATCAAAAGCAGAGAGTGAGTGACTTATCCCTTATCTATCCTTCTTCAAAAAGTGTGGAGGAGTCTGGAATCATTTATATCAACATAAGAAGTCTTCATTATGCCTGAATCTTTCCAGGGCATCCATTAATCCAATGGCTTTACTGGCAAAGACATTCTCTGCCTGGGCTCTTGTGATAGTAAACTAACTTACACAATTCAGTCTCTGCAAATTCACTGTCATGACAAGTGTCTATGGTAATTGAATACCAGTGTTCTGTTGAAATGGCAATCAACGAGGAAAATTCAAGATAGCAGATTTTGAAGAAGAAAAAAACAAAAAACTGTAGACATCTTTGTGGAGTCAGAAATCCTTTTTTCTGTCCGTGGTGTTTTGCTTTAAATTATATCAATACTAAGCTCACCAACATTCAAAGTTTAGCAAACAAAACTGAGTCATTTCACTGGTGAACACAGACTTGCCTTATTCAACCAAACTCTCGCCACAGCATTAAAAAAACAAAAATTAAAAAAAATCATTCAACCATGCATGTACTAAATTCAATAACAAGTGTTTGAACATTAATGAATAAGTCAAAGAGCTGTGGCAGATAAAAGATCTGCTTTGCTCATTACACTCATTAAAATCTAGGACACAGATTGCTGCAGATTCGGATAAAGCAACACTCCTCCCCAGGAATGAAAGGTTGAAAGACCATCTCCTATCTCCAACTATCTGCCTAATTTGTTGACCTGTTTGTCATTTATTTTACTTTCACACACCATTAATGATTAATTGAGAAAGTAGACTCTCTTATGGATAAATAATTCACTATTACACACACAACTGAGGACAGACCTAACTTAAAGCTACAACATAACATTTGCAAATTTCCTTTAGTACGTTCTGCTGTTTTGTATAATTAAAACAATATTTACAAGAGTAGATCATTTGCTGCTCTGTGAAAAACAACAAAAGATGTGTTTCTAAGTTCACAACCCAAAACACCAGGGTGTAGGTAAATAATGAATTTCGTGGACAGTTTAGCCTTTGGGGCAGAGAGCACCACCCAGACAGAATGATACGTTCTGGCACAGAGTTACCATCAACAAATGAGCACACCAATGGTACAAAGTGGAGCAGGTCCATTTATTCAACGCTCAATGCGTTTTATTCCAACTAATATTTATTATTCAGCCATCTAGAATACAGCGTAAACAGCTGAAACTTCACAGCATAAAAATAAAGAGCTAAAAAAAAAAAAAGATGTTGGAGTCCATTCACTAAGCAGCTGAGTTGGCAAGTGACTTGGAGGGGGGTTCTCCCCAGCTGCCTTAATTCTGCAAGTCAATTCTGCCAACTCACAACTTTTTTTTTTAGCAAACCAGACCCATGATCAGTAAGGCTGAAACTCAATGTTATGGTCAGAGTGCCAAAGCAGAGTTACTTTGAACAGCCAACAGCTGCTTAAAACTATCTGTCGCCTCTCTAAAGGGAAAAGGCTTGTTCAATTTATTTACACACTTTCTGTGCTAATTGGTGTATCCTGTGTCCAGCTAGCTGAGATGTGATGGGGGGAGTGAGGGGAGAGCAAGGGGTGACTCATTTGAGAAACTGATCCCAACTGTGTTTTGTTTATGTCTATTGGCAAAGCAGAGTTGGTGATTCCTTTAAAAAAAAAAAAAAAAAATATGAAAAAGAAATGCCTTCAATGAGCACAGTGACCTCCCCCTTGCAAAGCCAAGGGAACGCAGGACCAACAGAGACTGCCTTATTTTCAGCCCCCATCTGGTTTTCTTTCTTAAACTGCACGGGTGATGGATTGTGATTGAGATACGCTTTTTTTTGTTTGGTTATTTGCGCACACCTCCTCCCTTTACTGTCAAAGACATTTTATGTGCACAAAGCCACATTATGGGAAATTAACTGTTTGGAAGCACTGTTATCTGACTTTTGAAGGCTTGGCCCTGCAATATTATAACAGGGCTATTCACTGAAATGAGAGGTGACAGTGAATTTCATATTTAAGTTTGAAATAGCGGAACTGGAAATATTCTCGAAGTCAGCAATGCTTTCCGTTCTGGCCTTGAAATTGAAATTCACTTTGAATTCTCACTTTAGTTAATATAAGTCTTGAGAGTGGCGCTTACTAATTCACCCAGAATCCTATGGGCCTTTAAACAGGACAGTATTTTGCTGGTTCTGCAGTTCCACTCCCGGTGTTCTACTACAGTTAAATGACAGTACTCTGCTTGCATTACATGACCGTATCCGCAGCCTGCTACTAAAAAGTGTTGGCGTCAGCTGTTCATAAGCATTGCATGACAGTATCAGGGGCCCGCCACTACCATGGTATGTTGGCATCAGGTCAGTTAGCATTGCAACTCAGTGTCTGCGATCCACTAGCAGAGTATGGCTGCAGACTTGAATTGTAACCTAACCCTGACTTTAAAGGACCATTATAGTGCCAGGAAAACATACTCATTTTCCTGGAACTATAGTGCCCTGAGGGTGCCCCCACCCTCAGGGTCCCACTCCCGCCGGGCTGGATGGAGAGGAAGGGGTTAAACACTTACCTTTTTCCAGCGCCGGGCTCCCTCGGTGCTGGAGACTCATAGGCATTCAGCCAGTCTCATAGGAAAGCATTCTCAATGCTTTCCTATGGGCGCTGGCATCTTCTCACTGTGAAAATCACAGTGAGAAGCGCGGATGCGCCTCTAGTGGCTGTCAATGAGAGAGCCACTAGAGGCTGGATTAACTCTAAAGTAAACATAGCAATTTCTCTGAAACTGCTATGTTTACAGCAGAAAGGGTTAATCCTAGGTGGACCTGGCACCCAGACCACTTCATTAAGCTGAAGTGGTCTGGGTGCCTATAGTGGTACTTAAGGACCAAACTTCTGGAATAAAAGGGAATCATGACATGTCACACATGTCATGTGTCCTTAAGGGGTTAACCAGCAGTATGCTCTCAATGTATTGACATGAATGCACTTGAATCATGGTTAAAGCCAGTAGGATTTTTAAACAATAAAACAGACCAACTAGCAGATCTACCTGGCAGGTCCCTGCAAAGGCATAATACTGTGCCAAGAATCAGTAGATGGATTACAGCACTGATATGAAACACTCGCATATTAGTGCAATACTTGCTGAGTAAAGAGTACTGGTATGACTTATTAGTAGAGTATCAGTACTGACATAAAACACTAACCTAGTAGGACTGGTGTTGAACAATCGAGAACTCATGAAAAGTTTACTCATGTAAAGTAACTGAAAATCTCAAAGTCTTGGCTGAGCGTTGTGTGAGTTTGAGTGCATAAAGAACAATGCCTCTCGTTGGTAAGACTACCTGCAATGCTAGGACAATGTGCATTTGTAGTGGATTATTGATTACTGAATAAAAAGCATGGGATGTGTGTGGGGGCGAATCTTTAGTCACATATTTCTTTTTCCTTTCTCTCTCCCCTGCTGAGTGCCTGTCAGATACAGACACAATTCAGACTTTGAAAATCTGTCATAATAACAAGCAAAAAGAAAACTATCTCCTGATGGGTGAAGGCTCTGGCCTCAGACACAAAAAAATACTAAACGTTCAGTGACATATTTTGCATATTCAAATCACTCTATGCATTAGGCTTATTAAAATCAAGCAAGCCATAAACGTTCACACGGTCTGGGCTGCTGTCCCTTGCTGTTCTTGTTCCTCAAGACAGTCCCTTCCCATTGTGACACCGCTGTCAGACATTTCACTTTGACAAACAACACAGTGACTCCCTTTAAATGATGGGGTGGAGGAAGTGTTAACACGCCTAGGGAGTCATTTACCAACCAACTTTGAGTATTCTATAGGTAATGCAGTTTTTTTGTGCTGATCGTCAGCATTAAGGCAATATACTGTGCTAATTATAACGTTCTAATTGTGCAGCACTGTTAACCCTTTGTTTGCCTGAAGAAGGAAGCAGTATTAACTCTTTTTTATCTGGAGAAGAGATACAAGTATGATTCACTAGACACTCACCCTGGTGAGCAGTGAAACTGAAAATAAAGGGTACTTTTTTACTCAGTTTAGCTTTTTTGCAATAAATTCTACAATTAGGAAGTTATCTCAATTCAAACTCATGGTTTAGTGGAAAACTCTCTTTTTATGTTGGTCCATATAAAGACAGACAAGCACCAGTGTTAAAATATCAATCTGCATTAAACTATTCAGCTTGATGGGAAAAGTGCATTAATACCAAAATCTTACCAGCTTGGTTGGTTGTCACGGTAACGGATACAGCTTGGTCCTGGCTAGGGTTGTGCTTTGATACTCCATTCACAGCCCAGATCTCGAAAGTGTAGTTGGTGTGAGCCTGCAAGTCAGTGATAGACACCTTGGTTGTTTGCAGGTCATTTTGCTGCGGGGTGTAGTGGATTCCACTCCCGCAGAGCCGACAGCGCGTCAAATCTGCACCACATCGCTTGCAGACCACATTGTAGGTGACATCGCTCCTTCCCCCTGTATTCTGGGGAGCACTCCATTCCAAATTTACTGATGTTTCATTGACATTGGAAATCAGATTTTGAGGAGCTGATGGGGGGCCTGTAGAGATAAAAAAACAAAAAAATAAAGTGAGCTATTTCAAGCCGGTTAGTGATGTGACTTTCGCATTAACTGATGGTAACGCATCTTCAGATTGCTTTACAATGCTCGTGTAATTTGAGTCAAAGATCAGTTTATTACAGAGTAAAATCTGCACTCATTGTTTTATCACATAGGCATAATGCAAGAATTATTTTACAAGAACAACATCTTCATAAAAATAATGATGTTTACCTTTAATTAGTCTATAAAACAATACGCGTATTGCTCATCCCCAAGGGAGTATGGATAAGGTGGGAACATTAGTGTAAAAGCATCAACACACACACACACCACACCACACCAAAAATGTGATATCTAACACTATAGCGAATGGACCTATTCTCAACTGCACACAGATCTTTAGAGGGCATCTTTCCAAAAGCCTCTGTCCACTTTCACGTGGGAAAATGTGCCACAGTGAATCAGGATCTGCAGAAAGCAAAAGTCAGTAATTGGTATGTGGGACGAGGCCCAGGCTGCTTCTGAACACAGGGGCAGTCAAGCGGAAAACGAAGCACGCAGATGCTGGCAGGTCTGAAGAGAAAGATGGGTCAGAGCTAAGCCCCCCTCCCACCCATCATGAATGTAGATGGTATACGGGAGGCAGACAGTTGAAATATACATCAAGGAGGACACAGGAAAATGCAAAAATCAATCCTTGACGTTATCAGCAAGAGACATTTCGGAAATAGAGGTGCCACTCCTGGCAGGTGGGCTTCAATCCGTCTGTGCGTGGATGCTATCACGGTCATTTATTTGTACTTTACAAGTGATGTGAAATCTAAGCTTAAACTAACACATTCCGAGAACCGCAGATAGAAATATTCACACATCAAGTAACAGCATTATTCACTATTGTGTATAACAAAACATAAATGAGTATAAAAAGTTAAAAAAATAAAATGCAATCATACTGCTCAAAGAACAGCATATAAATGAATGGTGACAAGTAATTTTAGATCATCAGAGATGACGAGGGCATAGTCAAATGAGCTTACATTCTAAAGGAAGCAGTATGTGGCTACAGAAAAGGTCAATAAATTCAGAAAGAAAGATGGGAGTATAACTAACTATTTGGAATACTCATAAATAACATGTTACAAATAAATAATCCACAGAGTAAAAAGATGTAGCACAGAGAGTGGAAGGACAAGATTAGAAAGATTAGAGATTACTGGTAGAATGAGAAACAAGGAAAGGATTTGTTCAGTTACGGTAGCTGATATATATTTACTATGAGAAGAGGATATTAGGAAATATTTGTAAAGAAATAATCTGATATATTATGTATTCCTCTATTTGTTATGTGTGACTTTTTGTTTGTTTTGTTTCTTAATTTTTATTAACTGTAGGAAGTACAAGAAAACCCTGTCAGCTGTATACTGCAGCAACCACAATGCCCAGCCACCTAAAACGTGTGCATGCTTAGAATTGTAGTCTATAGAAGGTGAACTGCCAACGAAATCCTGTTCCAGTCCTACAGTATATTAATCTATGTGCTGTTCACACAGCTAGAACAAAGCAGTAAAACACAGCAGACAGGCTTTATAGTGCTTTATTTTCTATGGTGTCTTTCACTGTAGGTGGGTTTGTTGTACATTTTATTAACTGGTTAGCTTGTTTGTGTTGTGCAGCTGTGTGTCTGTGTACTACTAAGTACTGCACCTCTAATATACCTCCCAAGCAAATGTATATGCATACATAATTGAACATTTACACCAACTGCAACAAGTATATTACACGTTTATTTGTAATCGCTGCTTTGCAATGAAAAATGTTATAAAGTTGAACATTTAAAATATTTCACACTATGCGTAGATGAATGTTTAGAGTTCATTGAAGCTACTCTTTATGTCTTAACATTCTGATACCCCTTTTTGTTTCCAGATCACACAATAATCACACCCAGGCCTCGAGTGACCTTGTCATTCACTCCATGTGACCTTGGGTCTCTTGTCCTCATTCAATAAGTATAGCAGCATCATTCAGAGCATGCATTCTCCCCTTCAGTCCTACACAGCTATAGCTGTATTTTATTTACAAGCATCCTGATCTCGCATTCTGTTTCAGCTTAGCAGGGACATTTGTGTGAAAGCACTGACACAGCCCATTAAATTATAGTTATCTCTTCTCCTTGACTGGGAGAGTTTTAACTGGAACAGGTGTGTGTCATGGAATAAGCGAAGGCAGAAGACAAAGGATAATTATTTATTTTACATATACCTGACCATTCAAAGGTTACGCATAAATTAAAAAGAATGCCCAACAATATTTAAATACTTCTTTAGGAGTTATTGAACAAAATCGTGTTTTATTTAGATGTGATGTGATGTAACAGCCACTGATCTGAGAAATAAGGATAAGACAGGCGGACCATGTGCGTTCATGCAAGCAAAACTAGTATTGATCTGTATGTCTTGACACATATTTATTACTCCCAAATTCTAAGGAGATAATGAAAGTGAAGAAAGAACGGTCTGTATTCCACTAGTTATCTAGAATAATGTATTTTGATTCCTAGGGCTAGTGTCCACATCCAATTATTAAAGAAAAAAATCTTAGGCACTCACTGTGATAAATCAGGCAGATTTATTAGACACTGCAACGTTTCGACTTGTAGCCATGTCTTTATCAAGCATCCAATTATTAGCCACAAGCTGATTTTCCTATAGTAGAACGTGGAATATGGGGTCAGCAAATAAGGCTTTCTGTGCAAAATGGGAGCTGCAGAATCTAGCCACCAAAGAAATGTGGAGCCGTCCACAGGAACTGAAGCACCATTTCAACATGTCCATTCTCCAGGCAGAGATGTTGATGACAAGACACTGAACATTCCAGTAGAGATGTACAAGCTGGTAATTTAATGTTTGAGTGAGGGTGACTTCCACAAAATTTCATCGCTCGGTGCAGCAAGCATTAAGCTGTGTCAGGCAGAAAGCAGTTTCTGTCTTCATTTCAAGCATGCCAGGAAAGGCTGGGAGGTGGTTGGTGATTGATAAATAAAGTAGCAGCTTCTGACAGTTGTAAAAACAGGATCTCTGCTTTCAATTCTTCACCCTTCACATGATAGTCCAAGTCAAAACTGTCTATTGCAGAGGAAGTATAGATCGAACCTAAATCGAAGTCACTGGCATCATTCTGGCTGATCGTGACACAGTGGAGGATACAAGTGTAGACAGCCACTGTTTTAATAATGTATCATGCCACAGAAAACTAGAAATCATATTTAGCAAAACGGTAGTGTTATCTTAACGTGGACATTTAACTCTTTGTGTAAGAGAGTAAGACAGACATTTAGATCAGCACTAAGGTTGCAAACTCTTACGTCATTTACTACAAAGATAAAAGTAACAATTTTAATTGAGATTCTGAAAACATATGAGCCCAGATCTCTCAAACTAGAACTGACAACTTAATATTGGGCTCATGCCATTTACTGGAGCCACAGGAAAATCAGACGTATGTTGTATAATCTCGTAAACAAAGAATTTATGAAGCATCGGTATGCAGAACAAGGCATGTGAACCTGCAATTAATCCAGTCTACCCTAGACCTAGAGGCTAAGAGAGCACTGGAACATTAAAGCGCAATTAACGATACAATTGGAAGTCTGAAGTTTTACAAAGGGAATCTCTATTAAAACGAAGACTCCACAAGCTCCCTTAAGGTCAAAATGGCTCACAGCAGAGCAGCTGGTCCTTTTGGGCTTAAATTACGCTCTACTGCTTGAGCCTTGGGAACACTGAGAAAGTAAGACAGATGTGCCACCAGTATTCTGCCAAGCTAATTAATTATGTCCATCCGCTCAAGTGCTGATGAGATGTGCTTAGGGTGATGATGGAAGAGGCACTATTGTGGCTGACTACTAATCATAATGAAAGCTGCCACTCTGACCTCATTACCATGTTAAACACAAACTCTTCACAGTTAAAGCAAGGACCCTAAACTGTAAACTCTTAAGTCTAGAATTCTCTCCAAGGTCTGTTTCCATGTTAATACCAGTCACCTAACATTCTAATCTTTGTCTCCCCCGGTGAATGATGAGGAATAGGTTGACACTATCATACTAAATAATGACACCAATAATCGCATAGGACATTAGTTTTGCTCACAGAAGATCACATATCCAAACATAGTTAGTAGTTGTAAGAGCAAATACTGTATTAAAAATGTTTCAATTGCGCAGGTAAAATTGACAGGCTGGCTGGCTTTAGAAATAATTAACGTACGGGATGATACTTCTTTTTCTGCCTCGGAATCATATAATGCTACTTGGCTATTAGATTTCCGTGCCTGTCCACCCCCTCACAGATTAATAATTTATACAAAAGTGCAAAGAAAATCTGTGCATAGCGTTAAATGGATCAATGTGCAAACAGTTTACTATTAACTGATTAAATCAGCAGCCTGTCACTAAGTTATCTCATAGCTTAAACCGTCATCCTTGTCTACCGTTTTCCACTGAATTCTCTAATACCGTTCTGCCAAGTTCCCATGCAAACCAATGCTCACTACATTTTCATGACAGCTGGCACAACATCTTGGGAGTTGTAGTTCACTAATTTTGGAAAATGAGAGGCTCTGATTGCCTGAGACACATTTTATGATAATTGCTCCTGTGCTGAGCAACACGGTTTTTAAAGCAAGGAAAAAAAATTTAACAACTCAAAACTATGAAGCTTAAAAGCTAACTGAACAAAATAACCTTAACTATTGTTTGGCTGGAAAGCTTGCAAAACACTGCACTGCAGACACTTCCAACAGTGCAGAAATGTATGCAGCACGAACAAGCCCGCTGGGAGATGATCGCCAGTGAAGAAATGCTTTATCCTTGACCTTGAGCGTGAGTGAAGGTTGTGCAGACTTCTCAATCTGCCTTTACATTTCAACAAGCGATCTCTTGGCGGCAGCGGTGGAATTTGCAAGCAGGTTCCACCAGTCATTTCATTAGGGTTCATTACGCAGATAACTGTCAAGATGCATTAGGGGAAGCGGACGAGATTAATAGGGCTGCAATGGCCGTTTGAAAACAATATAGTTTCTTTGAGGATGTAACGGTCAGAGCAGCAAATCAGATTACATAAAAAAAAAAAAAATTAATAAGAGAGAAAAGATTGTGGATGTTTATTATAAGATATCGAGAGAGAGTCGGCATTTTCTATCATATAACGCTAATGGGTCAATATAGCCAGCAGCCTGTACAGTATTTTTACAGACCATGCTGTTTTATGATCACGCTAAAAATAAATGGTCTATTTGCTCCCATTCTGGAAAATTAAATCGCATTCCATTTCTAAAAGGGGATATAGTAATTGTTAATATGTTTTCTATGTTTTCGAGAAAACATCCATTATTTCTGGTATAAAAAGGTAAAAATAGAAATCCTCCTTTTTATATATCTTGTATTTTTCTTTTTGGGCAAACTTTAATACAAATAAATGGACATCACGTATGCTTTAGGACAAGATAAGACTTATGTACTCATTTAATTTGTACTAGTACATGTGATGGAACACCACTAAATAGGGGACTGTGAGGTCTTAACAGCTGAATATGGACCTATAATTCATTGCAGACACTATACAGAAAACAGCATTTATCCATAGTTTAAGAAAATATCACTCTAGTGATATGACTTCTGAAAAAATGGGGAGATGTATTAAGGAGCTTAAATTTGGAGATGTTTCACTAAATTTCATTTGCAGGTTCTAAGCTAATGAATTTCAGATGCCAGAGTTTAAAAACTTGTTGGTTTAAGTTCATAATCCTGACTCACTACAACTAATGGGATCTCCCACCAGTGGAGGAATTCAAAGGTATTGCTAGAAAGCGTGCAAAGTGCTAACACTAGAACAATCATAGTGGAAACCAATAGACTGGGGCATCAATTGGTTTCCATGGTGACTGCTCCATGTTTTGGTACTTTTCTGTGTACAACATGTTTATACTCCCCTCTTCAATCACAGAATCTAGATAGGAATTCTGTTCCTTTCGTGATAGAGAAGATTTATTTCTTAAAGGGACACTAAAGGGACCCAGAACACTTCATCACATTGTCCCTTAAAGGGACACATTAGTCACCAGAACAACTACAGCTTATTGAAATTGTTCTGGTGAGTATAATCATTACCTTCAGGCTTTTTTCTGTAAACACTGTCTTTTCAGAGAAAATGCAGTGTTTACATTACAGCCTAGTGATAACTTCACTGACCCCTCCTCATATAGCTGTTAGAGATCCTTCCTGGGTCATGGCTGCCTAAAATGCATCCAAACATTCAGTGTCTCCTCCCTCTGCATGCAGACACTGAACTTTCCTCATAGAGATACACTGATTCAAGTCATCTCTATGAGGAGATGCTGATTGGCCAGGGCTCTGTTTGAATCATGCTGGCTCTGCCCCTGATCTGCCTCTTTGTCAGTCTCAGTCAATCCTATGGAGAAGCACTGTGATTGGATCAGGCCACCACTTCTGATGATGTCAGCAGACTGCTTGTTTTTCTGAGTCTAACAGCATGCAGATTTACAGCTTCAGGTTTGAATACAGTAAGATTTTTACTATATTTATGGAGGCATGAGGGGGCCAGGGGGGCTAGATGGTGGTTTTAACACTATAGGGTCCCCCTGACCCTATAGTGCTCCTTTAACAATGCAATTTAAAGTATTGTATATTCCAGGATAAAGACTGCTGTCTACCAGCCTTGGGAGCCGGGAGCAGTGGGGCCACGTAGGCAGAGGGACACTTTAGTATTAGGACTACAGTTTTGTATTCCTAACACTATAGTGTTCCATTAAATAACTGAAGGTAAAAGCACTGTGTATTGAACAGAGGCCACTAAAGTCAAACAAGGGGTTAATTATCGGCACCATTCATCCACTTTGCTGAACAGAAATCTGATTTTAAAGACCAGTGAAGCACAGTCTACATATGGCGTGAAGAGCAGGTCTTAGATATGTGTGTTTTATTTCTTCATTAATGCAGCCGTCACACTGACTGCCTAATAGGAGACTGACTGAGAAATAGATAGATGAAAAAAACAGTTAAAGTAAAAAGAGGGATACCCATTGGGTAAGAACATGACTACAGAACCTTTGACTCGTCAATTCATAATGGAGGATGAACCAGTTTAAACAGTAAATTGTCATGGTGGATGGCTTTATTAAAAATATCCACAATACACTAAGCCACTGTCACAAAGTCCCAGGCATCAATAACTGAATCGATTAAACTATTCAATCTGACTCTGAGGAATCGACCATAAAATTGCTGCAGACACCTGACAAAATTGAGTTTCTGAGTCAAGAAAGTCCACCAATTAGATTAGCTAGATACATAATGCCAACAAACCAAAATAGAAGTGCCAGATTTCACCTCAGTGCAGATAAAGAGATGCCATACTACATCGTGATGACAATGTATCTACTGAGAACTTTCTTAGCTACGGAGGTCACCAGTACTGTGGGAACCATGCAGCCTGCTCATTTTACTGTAACGTACACCCATCTAACACAATGGGTGGCATCTTCACAAATGTCCCTTAGCCTGGGACAGCTGGTGACATTTCTTCTTTTATTATTGAATATTTATGGATCCTTTCATCCTCAAGCATGCGTAGCTAGCTGAACTGCTTGATGAGACTAGCATTTAAAAGCAGGAAATTGACTGTGCAGTGATTAGATCTGATTAAACCTGTTTTTTCTGAAAAGGAAACAATGAATCAGGGCAAAGCGACTGAAAGAGGGACTTACGAGTGCAGGCCATGTTGGCAGGGTCAGTTTCTGCTCGAAAATAGCCACGGTCACAGGTGCAAGAAGTTGAGCCTTCGCGAAGAGCATAGCTGTGCAAGGGGCACTTTGAACATGCTGTGTCTTTGGAAAGGGCTTTGTAGTGTCCAGGTCTGCAGGCTGAGAGAAGATACAGGGGGGGAGGAAAGAACATATCGATTAATAAAAATATCCAAGATACATCCATACTGATGTAAAATGCCTTTACCACAATTATCAAAAACAGTTGGATTGATCCTTTGAAATTTTGTTTGTATGACATATATTTTACCAGGTTAAGTACTAAATATGCACCTGTTTTACATCATTAAAGAACCACAATAGTGCCAGGAAAACATACTCGTTTTCATGGCACTACAGTGCCCTGAGGGTGCCCCCACCCTCAGGGTGCTCCTCCCGCCGGGCTCTGGAGAGAGGAAGGGGTTAAAATCTTACCTTTCTCCTGCGCCGGGCGGGGAGCTTTCCTCCTCCACTCCTCCTTCCTAGCGACGTCATCGGCTGAATGCGCATGCGCGGCAGGAGTCGCGCGCATTTAGCCAGTTCATAGGAAAGCATTTACAATGCTTTCCTATGGACGCTGGCGTCTTCTTACTGTGATTTTCACAGTGAGAAGCACGCAAGCGCCTTTAGCGGCTGTCAATGAGACAACCACTAGAGGATTTAGAGGCTGGATTAACCCTCAGTGTAAACATAGCAGTTTCTCTGAAACTGCTATGTTTATAAAAAAAAGGTTAATCCTAGCTGGACCAGGCACCCAAACCACTTCATTAAGCTGAAGAGGTCTGGGTGCCTATAGTGGTCCTTTAAGGACCTAATAAACAATCAAATTAGCAGTTCTAGATAGGAATATGTAAAGAAATGGTGTAATTTACCACATTAGCTATTCTGAGCAAAAATGTGGAAAGCAGGGCTGTCCAAGAATGGACCTCAGTTTTAAATGGACTGTTTTTACCATAACACTCTGGTAGCCAGCAGCTGTAGTCCAATAAAATATAAAATATTTATATAATGCATAACTACAGTCTTACAACCTATATGTACAACTGGCCGCTAATGAGCTAACACAGTGTAAAATACTACAAATTCCCAAACAGATCATGCATTGCTGCTCTCCTCTACCAGAGTTAAAGTATTAATAGACAAATGATACAGTACATATGCCTTCTCAAAACTGCATTGATGTACCATTTTGATTAAACAAATGTGTTCCATCACCCAGTCTATATCCCGTTCTGTGATAAGGAGAGACCTGACGGCTTGCAAGGTGTTTGATTAACTCCGCTTAGAAAGAGCCCCAAGGGAGAAATTGATAAGAATCTCAAAGCACAGCTCAGCAGACAGATAGGCTAAGGTCAGACCCCTATGCCCACATCAAACACAGCCTCATCCCCCTTGCGTACAGAATGCAAACCCACTGGAAACTGCCTGTCACTCAACCGTCACCAATAAACAAAGGCAGCTTGTGCACTGCCAGCGACTGTTTGCAAGAAATCTTTTTTTTTAGTCCTTTGGACTTGACAACACTTTAAAAACGGCTGAATGAACACAGCCAACCTCTGTGTATTGGAAATATTTACCGCTGCATTGCATGTTCAGGAGGAATAAAATCTACCTTGTGAAATAAAAATATTGAACTGAACAGTGAGGATAAGTATTTGTGCTATTCTTAATAGTACATTCCAACAGATTGATACTTTCTACTTCTTACCATTCTAAAGACATGGATGGCCAACCTTTCCTAAATTCCCATGATACCTGCAGGCTGGCATCACTGCATATGTACTCCACAAATGCTACAGTACTCGGGTTTCTCATCACAATTTTTAACAAAACAATGTCTCTTCCACTCTCACGTTATGTTTAGTAGGATAAATCAAGTGGGTTTTCACTAATAGTAAACAAACAATGGCCTACAACTAGTGATGCCATATGCTAGCTAATATTGGCTATAATCGAAAAGCCAATAAAATGTGGTGAAAACTAGGAAGCCCACTGGAACCATGAGATATCAGCTTTACAATAGCACTTGTCCAAACTTGGTAGAGTTCTTTATTTAATTTGGATGCGGAAAATCATTCAAGTTGTTTAAAGCTGGTGAGCACTATAATAAATGTTATTATTGCATATACATGCACACGTTTGGTCACATAAAAGAATGTTATTGGATGCCTTCTGGGTCTTCACACTCATATGACAAGGACAGTTGTTCACGCTGTGTGTGTTATCATTGTTTGGTTCATTGTGCGGTCTTTATACGTTTTCACACCAAATCCCCATTCTCCAGGCCCCAAATTAAAGTCTTTGGTGCGTGCTTAATGCTGTCCTCTGTGTTGTCCCTTTCTGTGGAGGATTTACAGGATAGGATTGGGAGGGGTGAAGGGTTATTGCAAGAGCTCTGGATTCACCGTCTTTGTCCTCAGCTTAATTCACGTATTCTATACAACCACAAATTCAATATCTTTGCCTTCACTTTGATGAGGTTTTTTAAAATATTTTTTTAAATAGAAAACAAAAGCACTGGCCATGTACTTATGACACAGGACCAACAACAGGGTTAGGGGGTTTAGACTAAGGGAAGAAAAAAATGAATAGTTTAAATGCATCCCTCCTGCCAATAATTACTGAGTGAATCTGAGAAGCTGGTGAAGAATATATTGTGACACTATGGGCTATAATCACTAAACAATGGACTATGGCGAACAGAAACCTAAATCTGCAAAAAACATTCCCCAACGCCCATTTTATCCTTTTGTACCAGTGTGCAGCTATGTGTATGTTATACTAAGTTCTATGAATGTTGACTTAAATGTCAATTAGTCTGTAACCTTATAATACTGTACAGTTCTGCAGAATCAACATTAATGATATTCTCAACACAATGTATTTAATTTATGCTTTTGTTAGGTTTCAAAAACAAAGACCATAGTAAATAAAGTTTAGTAACAATAAAAATCAATGCAAATTTTATGCTCAAGCAAGTAAACTGGAAAAAAAATGTCCTACTTGTCTATTTTCCAGGTTTGGTCTTCATTTGGCCCAATTTCCTTGTCAATTCCTCATAAATGATTTAGTCAATAACCCCCAATAGTCATCGATACACATTAATGAGATCAATAAGAAATGGAAAGAGCAATGCGATTGGTTCAAACAGCTTATCCAATTACTTTGAATTTCAGAGCCTGAATGTTAAAGAGCTCACTTTTTTAATTTTACACTTGCAGCTTTATTAAACAATTCTTTTACATGGATATCTTTGCCTGGTGACTGAGGGTGCAAGATTACCCCACTTCCTTAAAAATCTAAAAAAAAATCTATATATGATATGTGATGTGACCAATATGTGATATTTGCAATTTCTGATCTTTTGCTGTAAAACCATCAAAATCTGCCAGGTTTTTGGCTCATATTTAAAAAGTTCAGTATCAGCTATAAATATAAATTATGGATGTTAATTGTGACTGTTAGTACAGCAGCAATTCTTGAAAAGTACTGCTTCCACTTGACAAATGCCTATTTGTATGGAAATGGGCTCCAGATAATTTGTCAGTTTCCTATAATGTCCGTTGATGTTGATTTATCACGTGACTTCCATGCAAGAAACTGAATATTCTGTAATTAACTAGCACTAAATGTGATAAACAATAGCTGCCTCTTAGTAAGAATGTCTGCCCATATTATTTGTAATGCGAGAGTTGTTAAAAACAAGACTCCCAGCAATGTTAAGGATGGGGGTTGCTACATAAACATAACACCTTGCCAAAATTAGAGTCATGCTATGGGATAGCTTGTTAGCTTGTCTAGAATATTTTAACATTTATTTATGTGACAATTAAGGATTATGAAGGTGTATCTGAACTCACTCTGTTAATAATTATACTGTATTTAGAGCCATTTTCTTGGTTTACATAGAAAACAAAGAAAAATATGATAAGATCTCCAATACAAGATTCTTTAGGCAGCTAAATTTCTTCCTATATTTGACCTTAGAGACTTGAAAATTGCAGTATGATGAGAATGTGTTAAGGGCTGCCTGTGTGCAAAAATAACAGCGCATGTTGTCTGGGTGCCTGTGCTTTCGAGCTAATTAATTGGTTAACTGCTGAGTGACAACTCCTAATCCTGTTATCTAAAGCCCTTTGCTTCTGTATTTATGCCCCTGGGTAAAGGAAGAAACACTTATGCAGAGATCCTATCCATATTTAATCGTCTACTATGTTTTTAACCCTTTCTCAATCAGCACTTCAGCATGCCAGTAGTGCAAAACCATAGTGGGTTATGAATGATGCAGAAATATTGCGTTTAACCCTAGCAGAGCAATAACCATGGACACCAATGGAAAATTAATGTGACTGCTCCACTTTTACAACTTTGTACCACAACTGATCTTTAGTCTTTAACCATAGTAGCAAATACGGCATAGCTCCCAACTATCCCTAATTAGGAGGGAGAGTCACAATTTTGATTCCAAATCTCTCTGTAGGAGTTCCATATTGTTGGTATGTCTGAGTGTAAAATAGCTCCACATCAATAATACTCCCAGTAATAAGTCTTTAAACAACAAGAAATGTGTTAAGAAGTCAGTCTGTGTAAAAAAAGATACATTGTTCTTGTTTTAAATTACATTTTAGTTGCATAAATTATTATTAGTATGTCACTTCAAATTCCTCAGAACAGCCCCTCCCCTGGCCAAATCCCCACTCACACCCCTAAAATTAAAGTGCCCCTCTTTGTCAATTTAAAATGATGGGAGGTATGTTACTGTATCTCACTGCAAATAGAGGCACTGAAATTTTGTACACACATTCAGCATTATTTCCGTACATACAATAAATTTACCTACTAAATAACTCACGTCACAGGACAGGTGTCACTTGAATTTGGGGTATTTCTGTCATATAACTATGTATACACATCTATGTTTATAAACATAGATCAGCCATCACTTAGCGATCTGCCATGGATCGCAGTGTCAGAGCTGTAGGGTTCAGCTGTTAGAAGACGTTTAACAGGAAAAAATGTTTACACCTTTGAAGAAAAAATTATATTAAAACAGAAGCTCTTTGCAGATCTGGACTTGTCACATGTTTTAAGAGAAACTATAAGCACGTCAGACTAACAATGTCTATGGTTCCTTTACATGGGCATGTTATAAGAAGGGATCAGTTTTCTTCAAGATAGAGCAAGCAGTACAAAATACATACTCATCCTAATCCTCCCACTGTTCAAATGGAACATTGAGAATTTCACACATTTCTATACAATGGATTCCATTAGCTTGCCAGCTAGCTCTATCCATGTTCCTTTATGAATGGAACTATGTGAAGTTGCACATGCACTTGCCCCAGACTCTCCGGTAGAGTGTGCACAGTGTAGAAGTACTTTTACCATTGGGTGGAAAAGTCCCTAATATCTCTGTGAATTCACTAATGGTGAGAATTAACAATACGGCAATTTGCAAATAGCTATAATGGATTTTAAATAGAGACAGGGACAAGGGTTAATGTGTTTTTTATTTTAAAAGTATAGCATAACTTTGTATGCAAAATGCTTTTCAAGACATACTTGAGGATGGTGTAATATTCCTGCTACAATGTTTTCTTAATAAACCCATATGATAATATAAGCATGAAAGTATACATATACTTTATATATTATATAATGTTATAACTATAAAGTGTGAAAAAATGTCCAATTAAAGGACCACTATAGGCACCCAGACTCATTCAGCTCAAGGAAGTGGTCTGGGTGCCTGATCCCTCTAGTTTTAAGCCTGCAGTTGAAAACATAGCAGTTTCAGAGAGGGAGGCGGGCCCTAAGGGTGGGGCGGGACCTAATGACCCTATAGTGCCAGGAAAACAAACTATAGTGCTCCTTTAATGACTAATAAACTATTTTCACCTATACATTTAGTCCAAAACGTTTTTGTAAGATAGTTCAATGCCTCAAATTTCCCATTTTTCACACTATGCCCTCCCAGCTAGAGTGCCAACAATGATGAATTCAGGCCATACCCCTGTTATTGGCCTGGTTCACACTATTTAATTTCCTTAGTTCTACTTTCACTGTGGTCCTTGTATCCGATTATCAAATTATTATTCTTCGCTAAACTCTCACTATTTTTTTTCCGTACATGTTACAATAGCTGGGAGACAGCCTATATTTCGATTTGGTAACTAATGATTCTTAACCTTTGCTGGCCACCCAATAGTGGTCAGGAATGAAAAAAAAACAAAGAAATAAAGAGAATGAGAACTTTGGACACGCTGTAGAGGTTGCGACTTCACCGACATTTTTATGACGGCTGTGAAATACCCCTTGCATTTGTTTTAATGCTTCCTTATAAGAGAAATTGTAGACCCCAGTTTAACCTCTCACTATCCTTATTGTTAGGGGCAAATTTATTACAGTCTAAATGCAGCGGTGGTCTTAAGTGTAGTACTGAAGAAGATCAATAAAGAATGGTTAGGAGTTAGTGTGAAAGCGGTATCCAGAACACAACAAAAATCAGCCAATTCAATAGCAATTGTTCACAAGAGTAAAATAAGCTGATGTAATAAATCGGAATTCCTATTCATTCAAAATGCCTTCTTAACAAAACAGTGATTCATGTTTTCACAGTTATCATCTTAAAAACACTAGAGCTCGAAAATTGAGATCAGCAGGCTGCTATGTAGTTAACAAAAAACCATCACTAATCAGCCAATATATTCATTTATATAACTGTACATCCAGGTGTTTTCAGAGATACTGTCTCTTTAATTAAAAATCCGATTTACTGGCTAACGTGCAATAAAAGCCCTATGGAAAATAAAACATTTCTACTTCGCAAACTCTTTTGATAATGTAATAAATAAAATCTGCCCATTGCCCATTTAATACAAATTTTAATCAGCACAGTGGCATACAAATCATGGGCCATTATTGAAGAACCACCCTTGAGTAATTGTGACATTTCTCCAAGGGGCGAACCGCCATAATGAGCCTGTGCTCTTTAATGACCTCTGGGATGGTGTTCATGCAGGAACATTGAATCCTTAACCAGAGATTAAAATGTGTAGATGAAGCCAGGAATATAATAGTTCTTATAGATAGCCCCATAGGGCAAGCAACTTTATATTGGATAGCCTTTTCTATTTAATTTGGTCAAGGTACTTGAACCATTGCTATATATACACATGCTTGCGTCTTTGTATGAATTGGAAAGATATGGGGAGCAAATTAAAACCTAGTTACAGAGGACTGCGCACATGAGTTAGTGAGTCAGGATGTCAAATGCACCATGTACTGTGAATTCCATGAATTTGTTTGTTTTCATATATATTATACATACACAGGATTAATCAGTAAAAGGGGAACTGTAAATTCACACGGAAATTGCAATTTCTGGTTAAAATAGCCAGCATAGAATTTATTTTTCTAATTTAGCTCTTTTCCCAACTTGGATATTTTGGCCTAAAATTGTATTCATATTCTTGGGCAGAATGTTAAGTGTGGATCAATCAGCATGATGATTCTATTGGTTTCACCTGCATCCCTTTTAGATTTTTTTCTGCTTTTTCAACATTCAAACTAAAAATGTAATTCTGACATACTAATAGTGGTGCCAAATCCTTTGCTTTCACAGCACCACTACCTTTTACAGCAGGAGTAGGCAACCTGTGGCACGTGTGCCATGCACGGCATTCGAGGTATCTTTCCACGGCCCTTCTGGCTGCTAGAGCCAAACAGGCTTCTCTGGCCTATCAGGAGTCCCAGTTAAACTTCAGATATCTGCTAATGTGAAAAGGTGGTGAAAGACAATCCTCAATTTATGCATTGCAGCACGTAGAGTAAGTGATCTCCAATAACAATCCACATAGACGCACACAACCCCACAAGCAGTCTCACACATACACACCACAATGTGACATGTCCATCAACACACTCAATGTCACAAGCAGCCCCCCATACACAGCCAAAATTTATAGGTATAATACACAATACCACAATTTACTCATGAACATATACAATATAACAGCTCATATACGCACAAATATAACAATACAAAGCAACTACAGTATAAATAACACAAGCAGATTACAGCAACATAGACACTGCAATTTAAAAAAATAGGACTGGAACACTACGCGATATCACAATCTTATTTTGGCACAGTACTGAAAAGATTGCCTACCCCTGTTCTACACTGTAATGGGCATCACATAAAAAGAGCTGACCTAAACCATTCATGATGCAGGAGGAAATGCAAAATATCTGACAAAGGTCTGATAGGATCCCATCTCTATTAATGAAGTGGTTTCCGTCCTGTATACCGAAAAGGAGCACGTTTCATGTAGTGTTTGATATAACGAAGAAGATATATTTGTCCATGAAACCACGGTAGATTTGACAACGCTAACACAGCATTTCTTAGAAGAGTCTGCTGGCTGAGATTATTGAGTAATAGTGATGTCCCGAACGGTTCGCCGCGGACGGCGAACATATGACCCTTTACCTCACAGTCAGCAGACACATTCCAGCTAATCAGCAGCAGACCCTCCCTCCCAGACCCTCCCACCTCCTGGACAGCATCCATTTTGAAGCTGCATTCTTAGTGAGCTGTCCAGGAGGTGGGAGGGTCTGGGAGGGAGGGTCTGCTGCTGATTGGCTGGAATGTGTCTGCCGACTGTGAGGTACAGGGTCATATGTTCGACGTCCGCGGCGAATCGTTCTGGACATCACTATTGAGTAATGTAACCCATGTTAAGGCCAAAGGATAGCCACTCCTGCCATGAAAGAGTTTAGTCATGTTAGGTAAGTTTTTTTTTAGTGTAGAATTTCAATAGCTTAGCAGGGCAGTCTGCCATGACACAGCACAGGTGAATGTCAATGTGAGTATCTGTGTGTTCATCTAATATACACACAGAGCTGGTAGAAGATTATATCTTTCCTTTACAGAATTATTAAGGAGCTTTGTGTCCCCTTCTGTGCTGGATGCTTTCTAAATCAGCCTCTGTACCGGCAGGCAGATAATGAATCAGCCGTTTCCCACCCACTGCCAGGATTTAATGTGGCAATCCGTGCCAGAACAAAGTGAACTAATATTGTTCATGAGTATAGAATACCATCACTGGCTTATGTGGCCAGTGTTCCCTCTACGGACTTTTTAGTTTTCCAGCAATGAAACGGTTATAAAAAAAATGACTGCCTTAAGAACAACTGTAAGCTGCAGTTTGCATATGAAGGCAAGCTACTCAATGCAAACGACAGGGAGTGGTTGTTAAATTAATTACATTCCTTAACTGTTTCAGGGCTAGAATAGAAGGACCAGGGAGAAACATGTATTGGGTACTATATTATTAAAACACCATTGGGGTTACTGACTAAAGTTTGACTTGTTGGGAATTCAACGTATATTTCAAATTTAAAACTAAACTAGCTGAACTGGCAACAAAGCTGATTTTACAGAATGTTTCCCAATTTGGCTACTTTGTCACTGAGTTTTAAATTCACTTTGAATTCCTGACAATTCACAGCTTAGTGAATAGCCCATGTATGTTGTTTTGAAATGATAACATAAACACATTCATTTTAAAGTGCTTTAGTTAAAGACAAAAAAAAAACAGATTGTGGTGGGCACAGAATTATGGGAATTTCAGGCCAACATCATTAAAACGGTGACTAACCATTAAAAATGTATTCTCTAATTTCTTCCTCTTCAAAATGGCTGGGATCACAGGAATAATATAAAACTAATCACCACTGGTTTAACTAGAGACCCCCTGGGGCAGTAATCATGCTGTAGTCAGCAAGCAGTGCCTGGGGTCAGCTTTTCAGTATAAGTAAATACTGGCTTTCAGTAGTTCTTGAACTCCAGTTCCAAACATTCTGAGCCAGCCTTGTGTCTATTCTGATGTCTCGTACACAATATACAACACAAAAGAACATGCATGCATGCTTATACACATGTAGTATTTTTTAACATTTGCAAATGTTAGGCCAAAATAACTCAACTGAAAACACACAGCTGATCTTAAAGAATGTTTCCAATTTGACTACTTGGGCCTAAAATGTGAAATACTATGAATTAACTTTGAATTCACACTTTATTACATGACCCCCAAGGTGACAAGACACTTTGTTTAGTGGGAAAGGAGAACATGGCATCCATATTCTAATGATTTGCCACTGAATAATTAATCCAACCTTGTTCCTCTCACTGATTAATCATAATATAGCACCTACTCCAACTCAGTCAGTGCTCATCTACACGTCAAAAGAGAAATAAGTGAATGCACCTGGGGACAGATTTACAAATCCCTCTGTTTACTAACACTGTACCTCTTAGCACCTCCCATCAATCCACTTCCTTTAACACTTCAAGGGTATGATTTCAAACTACAGAGAGGGCAGTTTTCAGCAGCTGACCAAATAAAAATAATTATAAATGGTTTATATCTGCTGTTGCTTCAAAAGCAAGTAGTGACTATCATTGTTGGGTTTGAAACTCTTATCCGAACAGCCCTCCAATAAAAGTGTGTTTTACTAGTTACTAAAAATATAATTGTTAAAATCAGGTGAAGATGACTGGTAATTATTTTTTAGAATATTGCATATTCTGTTCACACATTAACACATTAGATATAGGTGTTTGGATTGTGCATAAGTGACAGAGGGTATCAATAAGTCACATGGCTTTCTTTGTCTGAGAATTCTAGAATGTGGTTCTGAAGCAAAAGGAATCAACCACATATATAAATATTCTAAATCTTTTGAATTCCAGGTATCGATACAGACTACATTAATCTAGCACATGTTAGTGGTGATTCCATGATTGAGTGGCATTGGAATGGCTTTCATATAGCGGAACATAGTCTGAATGTGCTTTTATTCTGATCGATCGATAAATAATTTACAAATCAGAAATCTGTCATTGAAATGTATTGTAAGGCTGACCTTTCGTGACAAGTTTGTGTTTTTCTTAAGTATACGAATGTTAGAACGGTAACTGTAAAAACACTTCTTCCCAAAGTGAATATTTGATTTACAATCCTTTAAAATGATAACAGTGCCTTATTTTGCATTTCATATAATTCATTTTGGAATTGAGTGTGTGTTCTTAATTGCCTTTGATCCTGTATTTGAGATTCCGTCAAAGGTTTTTGTTTACAGTAACGCAGATAAACCGTGTTGGTTCAATGTATATTGCATCTGCTGTTTAATGTATTGTCACCTACTGTTTGTCTCCAAGGACACTTCACATCCATCTGGAGGCTCTAATTTAAGGTGTCAAATTTGGAAGGTTTTGCAAGAATATGGCACTGAGATGTGAGCAGGAAATTGGACATTGTCCCTATTGCTCACTCACTCTAGCTGTGCAGGCAATGGGACTGCTGAGTCTGCATCACACTTATTTAGTTATTTATAAACTACAAAAAAGTTGGCAATACCTGCGGGGCAAAGACTGCCAGGAGATACATTTTAGGCTTTGGTGCCAGTGACCTCTGAAAAAAATATATTAGCAATGCCTTCTATATTCCATTTTGTCATTTTGTTTCTAAAAATTGACCCACAAAGAAGATTACTAAGGCTCAATATTTCCACTAATGATTGAAAGTGAACCTAGCTGAGAGTGTCATGTGCCATGGAGCTTCAGCATTGCAATGGTGAGCAACTTTTAAGGGCAGTCTAGTATCATAGAACATGAAATGTTAAGCCTTGAAGTTACAGCTGGAAATATTCTGTGACTTACACAGAAAAGTAAGAGGGAAAAAACTACTCTAAGTGGTCCTTTTAACCCCTTAAGGACACATGATGGAAATATTCCGTCATGATTCCCTTTTATTCCAGAAGTTGTGTCTTTAATGGGTTAAGGAACACCTGGTAGTAGGAAAGATCAAACATTACATAAATCACATGATTGATATTATATAAAGTAAGCATAAAAAGGTAAAAAGCTTTAGTTGTTAAATCAAATGCTGGAACTGTAAGCTCCTTGTTGCAAAGTCGTCACCAACGGGTTAAGTTCCTAGAAAGCATATAGTGGTCAGATTGCAATGGATTTGCAAAGCTCAGGCTAAAATAGCCTCCATAGAAGAATTCTGTAACACGTTTAGTCAGAGTGTGAGTGTGTGCGCCTCATTTAAATAAACCCACTGTATTTCTCAGGGATCCTTGTTTTACTAATGGCTGCAGTTAGCCCTGATTCTCTACACGGCTGTTTGTGTTAACTGGGTGATATGGATCTCTTCTAACAGCAAGTATCTGGAATAAAGAGGATGTTCAAATGCTGAATACTATCACTTTGCAAAAACAGCTTATCAAGTAAGCTTTCTGGCACCCAAACAGTGAGATCCATTCTAGTCGTTGAAAGGTTACACCTTACAAGCATTTGCTACCAGTAAACCGGGGTAATAGGAAGCACGGTACAAATACAGAGGAAGGAAGCAGTTTTTGTTTTGTTTTGTTTTTTGTTCAGCACAAAACATGTACTAAGGATAAGGCGTGGGAACAATCAGAGTTACATAAAGTGCATGGCCTAGTATGAAAGGTGGAGTGTACCACAGACTCACCCTACTAAGTCTGTTACACCCTCAACCAGGGAATAAAGACACTGATTCACTGGGTGCCCGTCACATGTACAGCACTGCAGCTGGGGAAATACAGATTGGGCAAAGCATCTGAACAGTGTTTGGGGCCAGTGCCCCAATAAACCTGCATAAAGGCTGACACCCACAATGCTCAGTGGCATGTAGCCTGGCGTAATCTTTAGTTTGGCCTCAATATCTAAGAGAGCTAAAAATACATACCCACTGCACATCTCACTTTCCTGCATTCAAAGGGTTAATTATCATAGGGGTAATGCATGTAGACACATATATATATATATATATATATATATATATATAAAGACACACACGCACACTAATAGCTAGCTAGCACATGCTCAGAAGGGTTAATTGTTACTTATATGCACAGACGGATTCCCTTCCCATTGCTTTTATGTTCCAAAATTCTAAGCCAAAAATTTGCATCAAGGGTGAAGGTGGCACAGGATAGAAAGGGGAATGCCAAGAACAAAAAAGCAGATGGGCTTTATTAAAAAAAAAAAAAGCAGGAAAACAGGAATAGAATTCATTTTGATGATGCATTGACATGCTAATTGATATCCGAGGGCCCCTCTCTTGTTTCTGGTCAACTGTTGGCACAACCCAAAAAGGAGCAAAGCGCTTTTACAGTTGAATGTTTGCGTGATTTTTAGAATTACATGTATTTTTGTATTGGCATTGGCACACAGGGCACACTGAAATGAAAATCAAGATACAGTGGCTAAGCTGTAGACTAGTTGAATGTGGGACGTTGGAAAAGCCTATTTTTTAATAACCACAAAGCCACACTGCTGAAAACTGGTAACCTAATTTGTCCCTTCCTGCCTCAAAAGAATTACATCTGTCTTGATTTTAGTTCTGTAGGAAAATATGTTGGAAAACTCATTACAGCAGCAGCACCACCCACTCTCCGATGGAATAACAACTGTGAAAATATACAGCTGGCTATTCTGTATCCAATTCTATTTCTCAGCCACAAGCAGCCAGGCCACTGCCTGTCACATGCACCTCAATCAGTTGAATCAGCAGGATTCCAAAATCAATCTTTAACCCTATTATAACCCTCGATACCAAGCAAGGCAACCTGCACCTGAATATTCTCAGCCAGCCATATGCTGGCTGAGGTTTATAAGAGTTGTAATGCCACATCCTGATTTGTTCCAGTATAGTGGCTAAACTTTGACACTGCAGCTATTGTGGGCTGTTAATGAGAGTAATGGGAATAGTGATCCACTACTACTGCTCAGTGCTAATGATAAGTCATCATTTTTATTACTTTTGAATCTGAAGATATTACGACAGTCCTGGCAAGTCATCTGTCATGCTAGGGGTTTAATTAAAAGAGTCCTACTAATTTAAATGCTAAATTATACTTCATAATTTGAATGGAGTGTTAAACTGCATTTTGCAATTACAGACCCATAACAACAGGTTTTGTCTACCCTAAATGAGTTGCTATATTTAACCCACTGCCATCAAGGTGGAAAGATCTGCAGAATTATTCAATGTATCTTCTTAAAATGCAAACAAGTGAATTTTCTGCAGGCAGCTCATTGCTAAGACCATGTTAATTCCAAAGCAGCAGTGCCACCTACCCAGCTCAACATGTACTTAAATAAATGTTGGCATGCTGAGGAGGCAGATAAAAAATGTTTTTAAATAATTATTCTTATCGTATATCATGCCTGGTGAGGGCATGTTCAGTCCTTCAGGATACGATCCTGTTCATTTAATCCATACAGTTTATATGTTTTTTTTTTTTTTTTGCCAGAGGTGCCGCCATTGAAATCCTTTGAAACTACCAACCAGGACATCATGCTGATAGGAATAAAAAATTTAGATCGGCTCAGCGAGTCTGTTTGGTGCTCTAATTGCTGTTTATCCTGAGGTCTGCCTCTTAATAAAGAATGAATAAATGCATGTCCCACACATCTCCCTTCTTACGCCACATCCTTTCCATGCCCAAAATGTTATTACAAAGTGTGATGCCAAGGGAAGAGCTTTTAAGAGGAAAGAAAAACTCTCAGAATTAGACATAATCAGTAGATCATGGTTTTTTTGTTTTTTTTTATTTGATAATTAACAGACTGGTCTCTGGGATCTATAGAAAATGAATTGGCTGTAGCTCCCTTAAATTATATTAATTTTGCCACTGTGGACCTTATGCACTTGCTAGGGCACCATTTAAAAAATGAAGTTTTGGCCTGCATGTAGTTCATCTGCTGCTTAGAATGGTAAAAACAAACCAAAGCTTGGATGGATGGATGGATGAATGGATGGTAAAAGCAGACAATTTGCCTTAGAAGCAGATACTTTGAATTCCATTATCACAGGTACTATGAAGCCAGTTTATTGTTTTATAAGAACTTGTATAAATTTATGAAGTTTTATATACACAGCCAGGGGTTTATAGCCTAAACAGTGAATGATAGTACATTAAAAATAAAGTTGTAAAATTTCCTATCATGGATTACTTTTCCTTAACTATTTTAAACTGCAATTTGTTATACAACTGTCAGCATTTGACAATTACCATTTAGTGAATAAGCCACTTAGCTGACTAAGATACATAAAACTGCAACACCTGCACAGTTCAAGAATCAAAACCCAATAAACAGCTCCTAATTGTTAGATCGGATATAATGCAAACCTATTCAGCTGGTAGCTAATTAACTAAAAAATGTATGAAGAAAAAGTAAAAAAAGTCATGTCTAGAAATTGAATAAATGCAGTAATTATTATATGAATCATTGCTAATATCTGGGTTGAATTATCTTTACTATAAGCATTGTAGTCATCGAGACACTTTAATTATTTAGTATTAAATGTGTCCACAGACATATACTTATAATTCCCAAAGAAAAGAGTTACTTGCGCACTATCCCACATGATAAATACATTTATAATTACAATGTCTACATAATTATTATTTTTAATATTGTTATATATTTTTATGTACTCTGCAAAATGTACATCTGCACAATCTGGCACAGTGAGCTTGTGTGTGACCTTAGATCTAAGCATTATTTGATTCCCTATGCCAAAGGATATCATTCAAAGGCTTTTGGATTCCCTACCCCTGACTCTTGTCCAGTAAAACCCAGCAGGACTCTGTCAAACTGAAGATCTTAATCAATCTTTGGCTGTGACTAAGGAGTGACAGGAGGAAGATAGATGAGGGATTAAATGACCTTTAGACCTCTCTCTTGTGTTCAGTCTGCTTGGGATCAAACTCTCATAGACAACTGAGGAACAACCTGCTAGCAGGGGTCACAACCTTCAGACTGGTGTTCTTTCTTATCGTCTCAGAGGGACAATTAATTTGCCCCAAACTCACGCCCATGGCTCTTATCTGTATGAGATCTGAGACCAAACTGGACATTCAAGAGGTGAATCCCCTGAGATTCCATGAATGCCAATAATTTAATATCAGGCTGATGGCTGCTGAAAACAAGTAGAGCAGAAGTGAGGAGTGGCATGAGGCCCATTCGCGGTCAGCCAACTGCTGGCCTGTAAGCCAGATGCTGTTCCATAGAGGCATAATTTGGGTCAAAAAGTTGACCATAAGTCAGGCCGGCAAAAAAAAAACCTGAAAGCAGTAGAATATATAACACAGTGACATTGAGGAGTGTAAAGGCGTGGAACAGAGCACATAAAAAAATCTGACACACAAAGAAAATGTCCCTGTGGAATATTTGAAAATAGAAGAAATCTCAATGTATTTTTCTATGTAAAGTCATTTCTAAGTAAATAACTCCATTATGGGAAAAATAGCTTTGATAACAAAATCTTGGCTAAGGTTCAGGTTGGTATACACAGAGCCAGAGAGCCATTATGTTGGTTTTGTGTTTTATATTTTAGAATCAAACAATTATTTAGTTGCCCAGGTTATTTCTTAAAGTATAGGCCAAACTGTAATCGGTTGAGTCTGGTCTGGTCAAAAGTATTCTTAAAGGAAAATCTGAACACCCCAGCAATTAATTAATTGTAAGTATTACAATGCTCAGTGGGAGAACTGATGAGTAACCTGTTGCTGTATGGAGTTTTTAGTAAAGTGACAAGGCCTCCTAAAATTAGAGTTCATGGCCAAAAGTAAAGCACCCTGTCTACATTCCTTTATTACTACAGACATGACATAAGAGGAAAACGGATTGTCCTTGGTTTTACAGTGTTCACTGTTTGACAAACTCCCCTCCCAAAAGAAAAAAATGAACCTTTGAGAAAAGTCTGGAGCAACTTATTTTCTTATATCCTTTAGCAGATGAGCCAGAAGCTCTTCTATACAAACAAACAGAATGCTTTACATCAATACGTAATTATAAATGAACATATCAACAAGATATATATTCCTACGCAAATTTTAGATAAACAATTTGAATGTTGCCCATATTTCTTTTGTCTTTAAAAAGTACATTACTATTCTGGCATTAAACAGACAATAGCTAAGAATTAATTATGAGTCATTTTTACTGCCCTTTCAGTGGCATAGCTCCCCCTCCTCACCCCCCCCAAAAAAAAAATATTAAAAAAAATAGTATATCATAAAGATAAAATCTTTATGAAATACTCATATTGAATGTGTTGGAATTTCACTAAAATTCAACCCAGTCAAGAAATATACAGAGACAAAATAGAAACCACTTTGTCTTTGTATACTTCCTATGCGTGACACTTCTTGACACTGGGCGAAGCTACCACCATCTAAAAGTATAATTCCCCCAGTCATCACCATTCTCTAGAGTAGGAATAGGCAACCTTCGGCACTCCAGATGTTGTGGACTACATCGCCCATAATGCTCTTACACCCATAATGCTGGTAAAGCATCATGGGAGGTGTAGTCCAAAACATCTGGAGTGCCGAAGGTTGCTTATGCCTGCTCTAGACGTTAATGCTGTACTCTCGCTAAAGTGCCAGAAGCTGAAAAGAACCCACCAGAGGAAGGTAGCCATGCCCACGAGGGACATGTTCAGGTAAGAGGAACTCACCATTATCTGCATCCACCCCCTGCTGTTGGACCCCCAGCGGTGATGTCACCTTCGGGGAAGAAAGGTTTGGGGGGGGTCTTTGCGAATTCTGCAAAGCCCCAAGACGGTGACAGTGCCCACTTTAAGAAAATGGCATCATCCAAATAAAACACTTTGGGTATAAAAAGCTGATGCAAGTAACATGCTTGTATTTAAATTATCCAACAGTAATGCAAAAACAAATTTGGTCATAAAATAATACTTTACATACACTCAAATATAAATAGAACAAATGCAATGCATCTATTATCTAAATGTGAAAGAACAAAAATGCAACTATTTAAAAATACCAATATAATGGTATTATAAAGGAATGCAATTTGCTATATAATGCTATCAATACGCTGTAATGACTTAATGCCACCATTAATAATCTAGATCGTCTAGTTACAAAGAGCAACATGATGATCTTGACTTACCTAGCTACACAGACAAGCAAAAAAAGGAAAACATTTAATTTAGAGCTATCTGTATCGAGCCAGTTTTTGTGTATGTTTCCCTGCCTTCTGCCATGCCATTTGTTCAAATTTTCCCCAGTGCCAGCCCTGCCACCTGGACCTCTTGGCCTTGTGTATGCAGCCCTTCTGTCAACTGCCCTCCCCAAGGATCTGCTAATTAATGGCTTGTTTTTATTCATCTTGTGGCAGATTCAATTACACAATTTGACACCAGATGGAAACATATAGTTGAAACTCTTACCTTGGCACCCCCCATTGCGTTCTTCATAGCCAGCATTACAAAGGCAGTTCCCAATAGGCACCAGCCACTCGCCATCAGCCCCGCAGTACATTTTAGGTACATCTTTCTCCTCCGAGTTGTTGACACATGAACCACGAACCTCCACCAATGAAGAGGTATCCGAACCTGTGATGGTATCTGGAAACTGGGCCAGGTTCCTCACAGTCAATGGACATTTCTTATAGAAAACACGGACAGACACCAGAGCAATGCAGGCACCTACATCCTGAAATGCCAAGTAAAAACCCTTCTTGCTAAGTGGGCCAACATCTCTGACCTCTGTGTTGAGCTTCATGATCCGATCTCCGATGTCCACCTGAGTAAAGCTCTCGTCAGCAGCAATGGTGTCAATTTTAAGAAACTGAGTCTCACGAATAAATCGTTCCTTGTCATTGTTGGACTCATAGTAGTAGAGATTGAATGTCTCTTTGCATGTGCCCATCACCCCAGGCAAACTGTTGCAGTCCCTCAAAGTGAATTTAATCTCGACATACACTCTTTGTGCCCCACTCCGGGGGATCCAGTCAGTCCGTAGCCAGTTGTTCTGGCTTGACTCCATTACATTGCAGACTTGGTACGTTCGAATGGGAGTGTTTTTTTCATCCATAATGCTCACTTCTTCCCACTATAACAAGGTGAATAAATAAGTTATTATATCATGTTAAAAAAATTACCCTTATTTTTGTTAGTTTTATTTAAAGGAATAACTTCAACTGCAAGTTTATTGTAGAATCGTAAAGTGTTAACTCATGGTTCATTATAGTACTCCAACAGTTGTTGGCTATATTGCCCTCAACGCGCAGTCAATCTTATTCCTCCATGGAGCATCATGGGAAAGCTGTGCAAATCATAGCTATCACTATAACGACTCAGTGTACGATTAGAATGCCTCAAATTGCTCTGCCCCAACTGGTGCAGAAACCTGTTTAATTGGAAAATTCAAGTTTAAACATTTTGGAATGTTATGAGTAACTAAGCGTCGAATAAAAACAAAAATCAGAAAATAAATAATTAAAAATAATGATTTGTGCACTAAACTAGGAATTTTAGAGAAGTTACAAGGGAACTGCACAATTTAAAGCAATATAAGTAAGCTGGAAAATAGTTAAGCTTGAGAATTGTTCCACTCGAGCTAGTTCGGCATAAAATTTGCAATTCACTCGTCAATTTTCCAGAATTCACAATTTGGCAAATAACCCTGTAGGCCTTGCGTATCATCTGTAAATTTCGCTGCCTGTAGAGCGGAACCTATAAACTAAAATTACATAAGCAATCCCAGTTAGTCATGTGACTTGATTGGCTATGTTTAATATACTTTTCCTGTAGATTCCCTAGTGGAATTGTTGGGCTGACTTAGCTTAAAATAACCCCATCACAATAGAGTCTCTTTGTGGGGTACTTCTTTTACTGCATCATGAGTAAAGGCCGTAAATGAACACGTATGTTTACAACAACGTTTTGAAACATCTGTACACGGCGAGTTCTCCTAGCCTACGATCCTGCAACAAGATTGAAAATGTCTATTTTCAAGTAAACGCCAAAGGCAAACTGATCTACTGCTCAAATGCAGGAAAGCAGTCTAGGCTCTGAAAGGAAATGCTATGCATGGGAATTGAGGAGTCAAAGCTGCACCTGTACTGTTACATTTTTCACAAGTAGTGTAAAAATAGCTCAAATACGTATATGGGTTTAGAGCAAACCTGTCACGTCCACAGACAGACAGTAAAGTGGCAAGGAAAATCAGTGTCACTTAAAGATTGCTGCTAGCCTGACAATGTACATATGACCAATAATGCAATGTATTCTTATTAGTTATATGCCCTGACAGCAAGTCACGGTCAAATCATGCATTCAGAAAAATCTTCATTTAAATGTCAGTCATGCTGTGAGTTAATTTACTAAAACACAAGAGAGTCACATATTGATGTAGCAGAACTCTTTTGTTGCCTGACTCCCAAGTTTCCAATATCTATCCCATGTGTGCCCATTAAATTAAAAGAGCAATTGGGCAAAGGATCTGGTAGATGGAGTGTCTCATATTCCTTATACCCCGTACTGATCTGCTGTGGGAATAAGGCATGTTGTATCAGAACAAAAGCTCCAGAGAATACTGTGCTGTGACGCACACTGTCTGTTGCAACAATACGAAGTAAATATACATTGGATTCAGTGCCACCTGCCTGTCACTCATTCTGCCCTCTTCGTTGTTGACATATGCTTTCAAAATTGAAAAAAAATAAAAAAAATCAATACTATACTCAGAATTAGTGGATGCTCAAAAAATGGTGAAATTCACAATAGTTTCTAAAGTGATAATGTGAAAATGGACACAGCAATATTTGGTTGGTGGTTTGCTTTTACTTTTAAGAATAGGTGTATGCTCATTCATAGTTAAAAAAACAAAGGAACGAAAAAAAAACCTTAAGCCAGGATTCCCAGAAATGTAAAAAAAAATCAGATTGAAATAACAAGGTACCAAATTTACTGAGTTTGCAGCTAAACAAATTAAAAAATTATATTTATTTGTAATTAAAAAAAATAATAACAAAAGTATAATGTATGTAATACATGATGAGACTTACTGAGAAAAAAATTTTTACGGGAGTTCAGGGATCTATTGACTAAATAACATATGATGAGTAGCCTGGCAATTTAAATGTTAACCAGTTCAGCCGTTTTATTGTTAATGTTGCACATCTCTTCCCTACGTCCCACACTGATATTTAGTAAATACTGATTTCGGCTCTTAAGATATTTTTGTATGTTTTGGATTTAATCTGTTTGTAACAAGTAGATGGAATTCTGCCCTCTAATGGCTGTTTGTGCATTCAGAAGAAAAGCAAGCTTCCTGATGATTTTAGAGCTTTGTCTCTCAAGATAAAATGACAACTATAAGTGTCAGCGATAAAATGATAATCTAATATAGATGTTCCCTCTAATTCCAGCCTTATTGTCCTTACTAACCTAACATACAATTACACAATTCATAGTGAAACTACAGACTGCTGTGACCCTTATGATTGTGTAGAGAAGTGCTACTTTACAAACACTATTATTGGGAAAATAATATAACTACCAAATATTAATGCCAATCTGTAATGTTATAAGTAGGACTTTATCTGAGTTTTTTTCATTCAATCATCAATTTAATCTGACAGCACAGACAAAGTTAGTTGAGCTGCTAAAGAATCGTAACAAAAAAAAATAACACTGGCCTAATTGTCTGTATCTGCAAGAAAAATCTCATCAGTAAAAGCAATTGCAAATTTTAGTAAATAATAGTGAAATTCTTATTAGTCTGTCTATTTAATATCCTAACTCGGGAAAGACTGTAATTAATTATTTGAGTAACCTGAAACATTATAGGAAATTCTGACGGATACACATATTAGATGTGAAATATTTAAATAGCGAAAAAAAGTGTTAGAAATTTTGCTTGGAAGAGAATTTATAACTTATTGGTAAACTGTGGCCTGTACAAATTAAATAAAAGCAACATTCTAAACCCAATGCCTGTAAGGGACAAATAAACATTAGATGCAGAATATAAAAATGCTTACAAGTGTTACGCACAAAGGTTTAACATGTATAAATAAACAGTCGTTTTGTCGAATTTTGTGCTTACAACTATCTCAATTTCATCAACAAATGTCAAATTTCTACTGTATCATATTTCCCATTATTAATAGTGATCCATATAATCCCCTTATTTAAAGGGATTTTTTTTTATTATTTTTTCTCTGCTATTCCTTAGTTAGACAGTGATGACTACCCCACTGAAATATAAGGTTTCAGGCCCACAAAAGGTAATTGATACAGTGGACTGGAGAGGTAATAAGCCATTCCGCACAATCAACCAAAAGTGAGCCTCTAGGAATGAGCATAAAGAGTCAATCATCCTATTACAGTCTTGTAATTGTACAAAATCAAGAACTTACCCCTCCTTCTAGAGGACTAGCTATCCAACCAAGCTCTCCTTGTACTGATCTGGAATCCAGAAGCGTAACTGCAATGAAAAGGGAGTATACCTGTTAATGGCATATACTTATGATGATGGATACTCAATACTATATATATTATTATTATTATTATTATTTATAAAGCACCAACAAATTCCACAGCGCTGTACAATGGGTATACAGACTAAGTGCTTTATATTATTGAAAGTATTCTGAGAGACTGAATTAAATAACCATTTTACTCATAATGCATAGGACGTTTGATTCAATATATATATATATTCTAGATTGACATTTACATTGTATTTGGTCTGACTGACTTGTAATAAGTATTTAAACTGTTGAGAGCTGTTGCTCTCAGTGTTAAATCACACAGGAAGGGATTACATTGCTGATCTGTGCGGATCAAACCAGTTATCTGAATCTGAAATCTGAATATGTGAATTGGCTCAGTCAAATCCACACATTGTTAACAGCTTCCTCCATGATCTTACATGGGCGACTGACTACACATCTGATGATATATATCAGTTTTGGGGGGTTTAACTTACATTTTTTATTTTTGGGGGGTGTTTTTTACAGGTTTTTTTTTTTACTATACATACATCTAATGATGATTTGCAATATATATATATATATTTTATTATTATTATTATTATTTTTTTTTAGAGTGGAATAAATCCACATCCATCTGTATTTGTATAAAGTAGATCAGAAATACAAAGAAAGCAATGTGGCTGAATTTAAACAAAAAGAGGGGGATAAGGGAGAGAAAGAAAGACATACGTGATCTGCATTCAAAGCTAACTCACTAGCTGGCTATGTGCAAGATAGCCACTGGGGCAACTTAATAGCAGAATAAGCCCAGAATCTACCATAGCTACAAATGCCAACTAGAACCTACATATACTTTGTATATCCATCACAAATACATCCATACAAATCCATAAACATAAAGCTATTTAAATACCTTCATTAAAAAATCTAGATTAGATCACAGTACTTGTGTGTGTGTATATAAATATATCATGACCACTAATATGGCCATTAACTTTGCATAGTCTAGAATGGATATATACACATTGTTAGTTTTTGTTGTTGTATACTTCTAGAGAGGAAGAATTAATTGAAACACAGACACATCACATAAATAGCCAAAATGAAATCCAGGTGCTCATGTCGATCATGTAAAGTGCAAGACATGTACTGTGTCAGGCTGTCCCAGGGGTGAGCTGTACACTGAGTATACCGTGTGTCCACTCCTGGCTTATTAAATGGGAAATCAATTCACACACATGGCCTCAATTATTACTAAAACAGGGGAGATGGACACATACGACACCCTGGCTTGGATATAGACTCTGCTAGTATATTGCTAGATTTATTTTATTTTTGGCTCGGGTGTTACCGCAAACTTCCCCCAAGGTATATCCAATTCATCCTATACTCGATGTATGGAATATATATATATATATATATATATAGTGGACGGAACGTGAGATTGCAACATTGATAGGGAAGAATTATTAGGATATAGAGATATACACTGTTTCCAGGTCTCTAGACAGCCAGACAGAAAGATGAAATGGCAGACAGAAATTTGGAATGACAGACAGACAGACAGAAAGATGGAATGGCAGACAGAAAGATGGAATGGCAGACAGACAGAAAGATGTAAAGGCAGACAAGCTAGACATAGATAAAAGACATGATAGGCAAACAGTGCTTTTTGCAAATATATTTAGTGAATACAATTCTCGGTGAGTATATATTGTATGCAATAACTTTTATCAACTGTGGTGCATAGCTCTGACAATATATTTTGCACAGCTCCAGTTCACAGAATAAGTAGTACACTGCTCACAGCAGACTCGGTACAGTTTCACCATAGTTCACAGTATATTCGGTACACTTTGAGCACTGCTCGTAGTATACTCAGCTCTGTGTGGGTACATGTTAGAAAACTCAGAGTGCAGAGCGCAGAACACAGTAACAGACGCTGGCTTTACATACAGCAGAGAACAGGTCGGTAAAAGCACACGGTATGCACGGCACTGTGCGGCATTCTCAAAGCACACAGCACAGCATTCACTGACCTGCGGGCACTCATACAGCAGGTATATCGTGGGAAATTAGCGATATACAAGGTTACAAGTATGCTTCAAACTCGCAGTATACACGGTACTGCGTACGGTACACAACCCACGACACTCAACAATATACTTACAAACATTTCTCAGTATACAACACGCCACGGTAATATACATAGTACTTTATACCAATAAACAGTGCAGCCTGCCTTAACACCTCAATGTTAGCTTGTAATACGATTACCGAACTATAGAGCACTGGCTAGAATTCTTACACACAGTATACTCGGCGCTGCATGCAGTATCGCAGTATACACAGGGTTGCAGTAACACTATATATAAGCTAAGGGACCTATTACATATATTAGTTTATATATATATAGACGCTGCGATATACACAGCGCTCGACAAAGAAACACTCCAGTCCAGTGCTGGAATATACACAGTGCTGCACACATAGCGCTATACACAGATATTGACTACAGGAGCTCCATTCATGGTATACAAAGGACTGCACATAGTGTGTCAATATACACAGCGCTGCGTACAATAACAGTTTACAAGGTAAGCTTTGTTTATAATGAGTACTGGAATACATAGCACTACTAACTAGCTCAAACTTGCTACAGGAGCCGTATTGATAAAATGCACACTGCTGCAATATACACGGTGCTGCACACACTGGTCACAGTATACACAGTGCTGGCCATACAGCAGTCTATAGGTGACGGGCTAGAGAAACTCTATATAGGGACTGGGTCCCAGCAGTATCAGGACACAAGCCCCATCCGTTCTCCTAATTCTGCTATGTGCACCCAGAAAGAACTGCAGCAAAAAGTCTCCAGGGACCCACTTCGCGTCCATCCAGGAGCAACCCAAAAGCAGGCGAACTCTGTCCTTCATGGTGCCAGTCTTCTCCTCCAGAGGGCAAAGTTGTGCCGCAGCCAGTCTCCACCATCCCACCTTGGTGCCAGATACAGGGCTGGCAGCACTCCATAGCAGGCTCTGTCTGTCCCTGGGAGCCCCCAAAAACTAAGGCACAGAAAGCCACAATGAAGCTCCAAGATGCAGCAGTAGAAGATGCAGCAGCAAATTCCTATCCTTACCTTCACTGGCCGGGTAAATCCTAGATCCTGTCACTGCTGAGCACATTCCAAAGAGCAGAGAGAAGCAGATACAATGTACAATCCCAGCCATGGTGGCTGCTTGCGGGGTCTTGGTGTGAAAGGATGGTTACTGCACTCACTGTGCCTGCTCTAGTTCCTTTCCAATATCCCAGTGGAATAAATGCTTCAAGTTTTAGTGCGGCTGCAAGACATTGCCAAGGAGGCTGGGCTCCAAACCTCCAGCGCCCCCCCTCCTACCCTGCCTGCCGCTCTCACTCAAGCCGGATTCTACCTATCAGAGAGGAGGAGGGGTGGGATGAAGGGGCGTTAAGGGGTTTTGTCCCTCCTATTTTACCTGGCCTGGCCTGTGACATGGAGAGAGACATGCAGTGTACAAAGGCAGTCTAACAGCTTCAGAGAACAGAGCCTTGCTGACTTCATGCTGGATTATCAGCCTTCCCCAATAGCCAAAAACACTTTTAATATATATTTTTTTTTACCTAAACAATTAGTTTTGTGGAAAAGTGGCAGCTTATGTCAACGATGATAGTCAAATACCATTCATAGCTGACATTAAAATGTTTATATCCCTGACATTCTAAGAACTACTGAATGAGGTACTCCATTACAGACTGGATAAATTAGATATAATACACTGTGATTCAGGCTGTCCACACAATCTAAATGCATACCTTTGTGCTTAAACCAGTGGGGATAAATTGTATACTCTTTATCCCTTACTGTTGAAAGTGAAACACATCTATAGGAGGAGCACTTTGTATAAAAAAAAAAATTCCCCTTAAAAAAAAAACAAAAAAAAAAACAAAAAATGCATCATGCACTTGAAGTCTCATTACACATAAAATACAACAGAACACAACAAAAAACTGACGTTTAGGCCAGAGCGCCCCATCCTGTCTCCTCTCTGCTTAGCAAAACAAAGCACAACCTGAGGTGTTATTACTTGTATTATATAATGAAAAAAAAAACAGTTTAATCACATTACTCAAACACTGTCGCACTCAAGGGTGATAATCCGCATGTAAAGTCAAATGCATTATTGAGTCAGCCCTTGAATTTTTTATTAGTATATTTTTTGTAAAGCACTGAACTAATACTTCAAAGTAAAATCCTCATATTCCATATCCATGCATCCAAGCTCTCTAGTACAAAAAATATATATTTTTGTTTTCAGAATTCCACACTTTGCAGCTCTTTGCAGCTTGTGGAACATAGCTTCTCTCTATAAATGTCTTAGACCTTATGACTAAAGACTCATTTACTCTCACAAATACAATGTAATTCCTCTAACACCTGTCTTGATGTTGTATCAGCGTAATAAATGAGAGATGCACTATGGGAGTTTGCAGAGAAGTCATGTGGAACATATTTTGTTGCCATTAATATGTGTTTACCTGCCAACAATGCTTGATATAGGCCTTCCAAGTGCGGAAAAGGGTTAGCAGAGTTTATTTTGTCCTGTTATGACTTCTGTATATTGATTAATTTTTTATTTATTTTTTTTATTCTCAGCCCATCATGTCTGACTTCTTAAGATGGCTCGGGCTCATAGGCTAATACATAGAGAAAACCAATGCTGCTTTGTAGGTCGATATTAACAGTAAAGTCTTTACAATTCTAATCACATTTTAAGAGAAAACGAGAAAATATTCTTTAGAACATTATTAAGTGTTCAAGGAATAGGTATGCCACTTCCTGAAGTCATGTCACCCACACTGCACACATTATTCCCTCACTAAAAATGGAGCTTGGGTTTGGTAAAAGTATATCCATGTTGATCTGGAACCCCTAAAACCGATACCAATTTTTGATGAGGGAATATTAGGGAACAGCATTAATTTTGTCAACTAACAATATTAGTCAAATTTTAGGCAATTGCCAATTTTAATCTTTGGGAGGACACAAAGAGACACAGAGGGGCTTGGGTAGGGGCAAAAGAGACAAATAGTGGCTTTAACTAAACCCATTTGATTTTAATCGTGTCATCTAAAATTTACTGGAGATTTAGACGACTGCTACTAGACTAAAATATGACTAAAACTAAAATGGCTTTCTAGTCAACAGACTATGACTAAAGCTAAATTGAAATTTGCCTCCAAAATTAACACCGTTAGGGAAGTCTCCTTTCAAAACTAAAGTTGATGGGAAGATTTATCACACTGTGATGTAAAAGGGGAGGAGTCAATAATGGAATGTTCTAATGGTTTCCTTTGTGGTTGCCCCAGTATTAGCGCACTTTGCAGAACGCAACACTTTAATAAATCACCCCAACGTGTCAATAAAACATTAATGAGGTAGAGATATTGGAACATTATACTTCTTTTCAGAGTACTGACTATAAAAAGAAAACAAAACTAAAATTAAGAAAATCACGTTAAATACAAAGCATTTAACCATGAGGGTTTCTTTAAAACGTGTACGTTTCCTCCTTTATCCTTTATTAATATAAAGTACGTTACGGCAAGATACATCTATATTGGAAATATATATATATATATATATATATATATTCTGTATTGTGTTGCTTTTTGATAAACAGAAAATACTTTTTCTATTTCATTTTTTTAATTTTATTTATTTGTCACTATCTTTTAACTGAACTACAATTACTTTAAAAAAAAAAATATTTAGATATGTATTCATCAGAAAAAGCAATGAAAATGAAGTCCAGTCAATGTTTTGAGACAAAAAAAAAAAAAGAATTGGGCGTTTGTAGACATTTTATGCCCAGAAATCAGAAACAGATTAAATCAAATAAAATTGTTCCTATGAATATGTCCATTCATTGGAACCCATGATGCTCAGTACAAACAAAACGATGACTGTATATAATTGTAGATAATTTGCCTGATTTGTATTTTTAATATTTTGGCTGCCACCATTTTACTTTATGTTCCGCACACTCTGCAAAAAAAAAATAAAAAAAATAAAAGAAGCTTAATTACATCAGCTCAGTTCTGGTTTGTAATTGAAATAAAATATGGTATGATTTCCTCCATTACTTTGTACCTTTAAAGATGTAAATACTGAATCTCTAATGCCTTCTATAATTGCACTGAGATAGTTTGGACAATTTTTTTAAAAACCTATTCACTAACCAACAAGTTGTACTGAAAATCAAAACCAGCATGTATCATATAGATTAAAATAGCCAAGCTGAACTAACACCATCCGAAATTGTTGGATTATACGTATTTTTTTGAATGAATCATTTTATTACAAACTCACTGTTTAGTGAAAAGATTGTTTTCCCATTGTACTGAGCTCTGGACTATATTGGTGCCTTATGAATAAAATAAAATGGATTATATTGTACAGTGCTGCAGAGTTTGACGCTTTTTAAATAATAATAATAATAATAATAATATATGCTAGCAGTGATTGTGGCATAATATAAATAAATGCTGTACTATATATGTGCATATTTCTGAACAAGTGAAAGCTCAGGCATAATAGATCTGTTCTAACACTGTAAATTGGAGTTTCAGGCCTAGTAAGGCATGTATAATTTGTAGGATGTAATTTGTAGGAAACGTTAAAATATGACAGATTTACATTTAATGTGCAAGTGCTTTTAAATTCTCAATCATTTCCAGTATGTCATTAACGTAACGCTGGTGTTTTAAAGACTTGCTACATTCAGCGGGTAATATTTTAGGATTATTAACACAATCAGCGCTGCAGAAACCTTTCTTATATTAATTCAGATTAGCTCTCAGGCCCGTGGGCCGTAAACGTCCTTTGTATTGATTCATTATTGATGTGTGGTTCTAACGCTGCTTGTACAGGAAAAATACATGTGTTAAATACTTGGAGTTCCATTAATGAAAATGTAACCTATGATGTGTTTATGATTTGTAAAAATTTTGACAAAACATCGCTGATTTTGGGGGGAAAAACATCTAAATTAGCAGATATATTTTTCTTCATCTGACTGTTTAGTAAATAAACCTTTTCCATCTGTCTGCAGTAGAATGTTCAGATAATGACAGTATTTCTGAACATTCCACCATCCTGGCATATGTAATAAAGTTATCAAAATAAAAGCCCTGGCTTGAGTTCATTCAGTATGCTTTATAAGCATAGTGCAATTGTCAGTGAAAAATGGATGGCTCTGTTAATGAATTTGGTTGTTAACAGTGTTTGCGGTGCAGAAAGTGGCAATTTAAAGCCATTTTTGCTTTCATGTGGCAAACTGCACGCTGAACAATGATTTAAATAGTGTCGTGGGACTTTCTATAAAAATGTTCCTCTCTCTCTCTCTCTATGAATCAAGAGCGCCACCTAGTGATCGTGTACCTAAACTTCACGGACATTAACCAGTTTAAAGATTAACATAACACAGAGAGCTGGCTTGTAATTATTATGCAAGGAAGGATCCTGACCTGAGAGAAATGTAGGATTTTTGTAAGTACTCCATAATTAAGCAATTACGCCATGCTTTTTTTCAATATATATATCATGAGCCAGAGGTTCAGGGTTTTAGTTATCTGACTGCATTGCTGTAAACTGTACAAGGCTGTGGATTACATTGATGCTTTGCAGAAATTCACATTTCTGATCTAATTTTTTGCTTAGGCTTTGATCAGTTCATAGAATATTTTCAGATTTCTGTGTTTAGTGAATACTATTTAAAAAACACATGTTTTAAAAAAAATTAAATCTGTTTTGGGATGCACAATCATTGAACCCCACTCGTGTGCATTTGCAATTAAGAGGGGGTGATGTGTCTCACCCCACCATTTTTATTTTCATGTTGGGGGTTACATCCTACTGGATATGTCTGGAGTGGAGAGGGGTGAAGAAATAGAGGCTTGCCATTTGTGACTGGCTCTCCACTGGATTAACAGGGAATGGTAAACTGGAGAGGGGTAAAACTCTCTCTCTCTCTCTCTCTCTCTCTCTCTCTCTCTCTCTCTCTCTCTCTCTCTCTCTCTCTCTCTCTCTCTCTCTCTCTCTCTCTCTCTCTCTCTCTCTCTCTCTCTCTCTCTCTCTCTCTCTCTCTCTCTCTCTCTCTCTCTCCCTCTCTCTCCCTCTCTCTCCCTCTCTCCCTCTCTCCCTCTCCTGACCCTGCCTCAATTCCTGTGCAAACTTAATCAGTCTAAGGTGACTGGATACAAAATCACTGGTGGTTCATCTCTTCCATGAGCAGATAGAGAGTAGTGGGGATATATAATGTTACCATGTGCATGAGCTAGAA